CTCTCTCTCTCTCTTCAGACCAGTAAAGTGTCCCCTCTCTCTCTCTCTCTCTTCAGACCAGTAAAGTGTCCCCTCTCTCTCTCTCTCTTCAGACCAGTAAAGTGTCCCCTCTCTCTCTCTCTTCAGACCAGTAAAGTGTCCCCTCTCTCTTCTCTCTTCAGACCAGTAAAGTGTCCCCTCTCTCTCTCTTCAGACCAGTAAAGTGTCCCCTCTCTCTCTCTCTCTTCAGACCAGTAAAGTGTCCCCTCTCTCTCTCTCTCTCTTCAGACCAGTAAAGTGTCCCCTCTCTCTCTCTCTTCAGACCAGTAAAGTGTCCCCCTCTCTCTCTCTCTTCAGACCAGTAAAGTGTCCCTCTCTCTCTCTCTTCAGACCAGTAAAGTGCCCCCTCTCTCTCTCTCTTCAGACCAGTAAAGTGTCCCCCTCTCTCTCTCTCTTCAGACCAGTAAAGTGTCCCCTCTCTCTCTCTCTCTTCAGACCAGTAAAGTGTCCCCTCTCTCTCTCTCTTCAGACCAGTAAAGTGTCCCCCCTCTCTCTCTCTTCAGACCAGTAAAGTGTCCCCCTCTCTCTCTCTCTTCAGACCAGTAAAGTGTCCCCTCTCTCTCTCTCTCTTCAGACCAGTAAAGTGTCCCCTCTCTCTCTCTCTTCAGACCAGTAAAGTGTCCCCCTCTCTCTCTCTCTTCAGACCAGTAAAGTGTCCCCCTCTCTCTCTCTCTCTTCAGACCAGTAAAGTGTCCCTCTCTCTCTCTCTCTTCAGACCAGTAAAGTGTCCCCTCTCTCTCTCTCTTCAGACCAGTAAAGTGTCCCCCCTCTCTCTCTCTCTTCAGACCAGTAAAGTGTCCCCTCTCAGAGAACAGCTCTTCATCCCTGATGCTATCGTCACCAAATGTTACTGTTTGTTCCTGCAGCCTTGCAGCACCGATGCCCAAGATGACAATAAAGTTGATCTTGGTCACTCGTCTTTCATCCATAAACCGCTGCAAGTCTGATCCAAACAGCTGATCTCCGGCGGCGTGATACAGTGTGCAGCTAAGTTGTGTTTATGCGTAGGAACACAGAAGAAATCCAGTGAGAAAAAGTAGTTCCAAAGGGATCGGCTGTCTGACGGCAGCTAAAGCTCTGAAACTATTGCAGCTCTGATTCTGCTGCAGGTGAGACTCTGACTGTGTATTCGGATAAACCCCCTTTAAAGCAGACTCTGGATCACGTTCTGGTCTGAGGATCCTGGTCCTGATGCTGAAGGTCTTTTCGTTGGCAGTGAGTCTGATGTTGAACCTTCAGGCTGCAGTAACTTGGATCAGGTCTGATCTAGACTGAGCGTTTGGTTTCTTCACCTTCAGAGAGTCTGTGTGGCGTCTCACCACCAGGGCTCAGCCTGGAGCTGCTCCTGGATCCACTCCACATATTTAGCCACTCGGGTGTAGACGCCGTACACCCTCTGACTGCCGCAGTCCTCCGGCCCGCCCCAGGACACCAAGCCGAACGCCACCCAACTCCTGCTGACCGCGTCCTCCATCACGAACGCCCCCCCGCTGTCCCCCAGGCAGGTGTCCCGCCCCCCCTCGAAGAAGCCGGCGCAGAACATGTTGTCGGTGATGTTGTAGCTGACGGACCGCGAGGCGTAGCTCGCCTGGCACTCGTCCTGAGAGACCACCGGCAGCTTCACGTACTGCAGGAGGTCAGAGGTCATCCCCGGGTCAGAGGTCAGCGTGGGGGGGGCGCCGCCCGAGGAGGAGGAGGAGGTGTTGAGGTTAGAGATCCCCCAACCAGCAACTACACCCAGAGAGTTAGGCAGAGGAGCAGGGGGGTCATTCTGAAAGCAGAGAGGTCAAAGGTCATCCTGCGTCCTCCTGCTCGTAGCAACACGTCCTGCAGTATTTCTCCTGTCAGAGAACTTTCTGTAGTATCAGCAGCAGTACTGTAGTATTTCCTTACCTTGCTGTGAGGCGGAGGCAGACAGACGGGACTGACGAGCTCGTTAAACTCCACCCGCTCGCTCAGCTTCAGCAGCGCCACGTCGTTGTTATAGTTCTTTGGTTGGAAGTCTGGATGGAGGACGATTTCCTCCACTGAGCGGCTGGAGGCCGGACGTTTGTCCCTGGCGTCATGGAGACCGAGGAAGACCTGGAAGACACGCACTGGTTACACTTGTTACACTGGTTACTCTGGTTACTCTGGTTACTCTGGTTACTCTAGTTACTCTGGTTACTCTGGTTACTCTAGTTACTCTAGTTACTCTGGTTACTCTGGTTACTCTGGTTACACTGGTTACACTGGTTACTCTAGTTACTCTAGTTACTCTAGTTACGCTGGTTACTCTAGTTACTCTAGTTACTCTGGTTACTCTGGTTACTCTGGTTACTCTGGTTACTCTGGTTACTCTAGTTACTCTGGTTACTCTGGTTACTCTGGTTACGCTGGTTACACTGGTTACTCTGGTTACTCTAGTTACTCTAGTTACTCTGGTTACTCTGGTTACTCTGGTTACACTTGTTACACTTGTTACACTGGTTACTCTGGTTACTCTGGTTACACTGGTTACACTGGTTACTCTGGTTACTCTGGTTACGCTGGTTACTCTAGTTACTCTAGTTACTCTAGTTACTCTGGTTACTCTGGTTACTCTGGTTACACTTGTTACACTGGTTACTCTAGTTACTCTGGTTACTCTGGTTACTCTGGTTACACTGGTTACACAGGTTACTCTAGTTACTCTAGTTACTCTGGTTACTCTGGTTACTCTGGTTACACTGGTTACTCTGGTTACTCTGGTTACTCTGGTTACTCTAGTTACTCTGGTTACTCTGGTTACGCTGGTTACGCTGGTTACTCTGGTTACTCTAGTTACTCTGGTTATGCTGGTTACTCTAGTTACTCTAGTTACTCTGGTTACGCTGGTTACTCTGGTTACTCTAGTTACTCTGGTTACGCTGGTTACTCTAGTTACGCTGGTTACTCTAGTTACTCTAGTTACTCTGGTTACGCTGGTTACTCTGGTTACTCTAGTTACCCTAGTTACTCTGGTTACGCTGGTTACTCTAGTTACTCTAGTTACTCTGGTTACGCTGGTTACTCTAGTTACTCTGGTTACTCTAGTTACTCTAGTTACTCTGGTTACTCTGGTTACTCTGGTTACACTGGTTACACTGGTTACTCTGGTTACTCTGGTTACACTGGTTACTCTGGTTACACTGGTTACTCTAGTTACTCTAGTTACTCTGGTTACTCTGGTTACACTGGTTACTCTGGTTACTCTGGTTACACTGGTTACTCTGGTTACTCTGGTTACACTGGTTACACTGGTTACACTGGTTACTCTGGTTACTCTGGTTACACTGGTTACTCTAGTTACTCTGGTTACTCTGGTTACTCTGGTTACTCTAGTTACTCTGGTTACACTGGTTACTCTGGTTACTCTGGTTACACTGGTTACTCTGGTTACACTGGTTACTCTGGTTACTCTGGTTACTCTGGTTACTCTAGTTACACTGGTTACTCTAGTTACTCTGGTTACTCTGGTTACGCTGGTTACTCTAGTTACGCTGGTTACTCTAGTTACTCTAGTTACTCTGGTTACTCTGGTTACGCTGGTTACTCTAGTTACTCTAGTTACTCTGGTTACGCTGGTTACTCTGGTTACTCTAGTTACTCTGGTTACGCTGGTTACTCTAGTTACGCTGGTTACTCTAGTTACTCTAGTTACTCTGGTTACTCTGGTTACGCTGGTTACTCTAGTTACTCTAGTTACTCTGGTTATGCTGGTTACTCTGGTTACTCTAGTTACTCTGGTTACGCTGGTTACTCTAGTTACTCTAGTTACTCTAGTTACTCTGGTTACTCTGGTTACGCTGGTTACTCTAGTTACTCTAGTTACTCTGGTTACTCTGGTTACTCTGGTTACGCTGGTTACTCTAGTTACTCTAGTTACTCTAGTTACTCTGGTTACTCTGGTTACTCTGGTTATGCTGGTTACTCTAGTTACTCTGGTTACGCTGGTTACTCTAGTTACTCTGGTTACGCTGGTTACTCTAGTTACTCTAGTTACTCTGGTTACTCTGGTTACGCTGGTTACTCTAGTTACTCTAGTTACTCTGGTTACTCTGGTTACTCTGGTTACGCTGGTTACTCTAGTTACTCTGGTTACTCTGGTTAAACAACACGTTCATCTTAATTTGATTCAAACATTTTCAGTGCTGGGGAGGAACAGACAACTTTAAGTGTTTTGTGTTGTATTTATTTTTCTACAGCCCCAGACTCCCTTAAAAAAACATATTGTTCTAAGAGTTGCACAGATCTGCACAGCTGAGAGGTCAAATTAAAAGCAGCAGCAGGTTCCCTTCAGACCTTGACGTGTTCGGGGGCCACGGGGACGACGCTCGTGTCCCTCCTCTGGGACCTCAGGACGTGGGCGGCCGTGAGGACCCAGTAGTCGGACAGCAGGGCCCCGGAGCCGAACCAGCGGTCCTCAGGTACCCGGGACAGATCCTCCACGCTGAGCAGAACCTGCCAGGGGAACAGGCCGGGCTCGCCGCTGCGTCCGCCCACGATCCGCTTCACATGAGGGGGGAGAGAGCGGGAGGGCCGGCCGCAGGCTGGACCGGGACACAGAGACACGGAGACACTACATTATGTACTACTGCAGGTACTACTTTACTTTATGTACTACTTCGGGTACTACTGTATGTGTTACTGTTTGTACTCCTTTATGTACTAATGCAGATATTGCTGTATGTACTACTATATGTACTACTGTATGTACTGTTACATGTTGATGTAGTACATGTGAACCTGGCAGGCAGCTGGGCAGTCTGGTTCCGGACTCTGGGTGGATCCAGTCTCCGCTCGGCCCACAGCTGTAGGAACCTGCAGCACAAACACACGTCAGGTTTGGACCAGAACCAGTAACACTGTCCTCACACTCAAAGTACTAACAGAGGTACAAGTACACACAGGTTTGGTTTCAGGTTCGTGATAGTAGTCAAGTTTATTTCTACAGCTCTTTACAGTCTGTGTGTGTACTGTGTATTTATGTGGATGTTTGTATTTCTGTGTGTATTTCTGTATTTCTGTGTGTATTTCTTTATTTCTGTGTGTATTTCTGTGTGTATTTCTGTGTGTATTTCTGTGTGTATTTCTTTATTTCTGTGTGTATTTCTGTGTGTATTTCTTTATTTCTGTGTGTATTTCTGTGTGTATTTCTGTGTGTATTTCTGTGTGTATTTCTTTATTTCTGTGTGTATTTCTGTGTATTTCTTTATTTCTGTGTGTATTTCTGTGTGTATTTCTGTGTGTATTTCTGTGTGTATTTCTTTATTTCTGTGTGTATTTCTTTATTTCTGTGTGTATTTCTGTGTATTTCTTTATTTCTGTGTGTATTTCTGTGTGTATTTCTGTATTTCTGTGTGTATTTCTTTATTTCTGTGTGTATTTCTGTGTGTATTTCTGTGTGTATTTCTTTATTTCTGTGTGTATTTCTGTGTGTATTTCTGTGTGTATTTCTGTGTGTATTTCTGTGTGTATTTCTTTATTTCTGTGTGTATTTCTGTGTATTTCTTTATTTCTGTGTGTATTTCTTTATTTCTGTGTGTATTTCTGTGTGTATTTCTTTATTTCTGTGTGTATTTCTGTGTGTATTTCTTTATTTCTGTGTGTATTTCTGTGTATTTCTTTATTTCTGTGTGTATTACTCTGTGTATTTCTGTGTATTTCTTTATTTCTGTGTGTATTTCTGTGTGTATTTCTGTATTTCTGTGTGTATTTCTTTATTTCTGTGTGTATTTCTGTGTATTTCTTTATTTCTGTGTGTATTTCTGTGTGTATTTCTGTATTTCTGTGTATTTCTTTATTTCTGTGTATTTCTTTATTTCTGTGTGTATTTCTTTATTTCTGTGTGTATTTCTGTGTGTATTTCTTTATTTCTGTGTGTATTTCTTTATTTCTGTGTGTATTTCTGTGTATTTCTTTATTTCTGTGTGTATTTCTGTGTGTATTTCTTTATTTCTGTGTGTATTTCTGTGTGTATTTCTTTATTTCTGTGTGTATTTCTTTATTTCTGTGTGTATTTCTGTGTGTATTTCTTTATTTCTGTGTGTATTTCTTTATTTCTGTGTGTATTTCTGTGTATTTCTTTATTTCTGTGTGTATTTCTGTGTGTATTTCTGTATTTCTGTGTGTATTTCTTTATTTCTGTGTGTATTTCTGTGTATTTCTTTATTTCTGTGTGTATTTCTGTGTGTATTTCTGTATTTCTGTGTGTATTTCTGTATTTCTGTGTATTTCTTTATTTCTGTGTGTATTTCTTTATTTCTGTGTGTATTTCTGTGTATTTCTTTATTTCTGTGTGTATTTCTGTGTGTATTTCTGTATTTCTGTGTATTTCTTTATTTCTGTGTGTATTTCTGTGTGTATTTCTTTATTTCTGTGTGTATTTCTTTATTTCTGTGTGTATTTCTGTGTGTATTTCTTTATTTCTGTGTGTATTTCTTTATTTCTGTGTGTATTTCTGTGTATTTCTTTATTTCTGTGTGTATTTCTGTGTATTTCTTTATTTCTGTGTGTATTTCTGTGTGTATTTCTTTATTTCTGTGTGTATTTCTGTGTGTATTTCTTTATTTCTGTGTGTATTTCTTTATTTCTGTGTGTATTTCTGTGTGTACTTCAGTACGTTATCTTGTGCTAAGGCACAAACCTGCTCTGTAAATAAACTTTGCAGCGGGATCCTCGCCAGGACATTGTGTGTACAACAGGACAGTACTTCTTTTACCAGACAGTGTTAGAAAGCAGTACTACAGTACTAACAGTACTAATACTCTCACTGTTGCTGGAGTTCAGCTGGAAGGCGTCCCCCCTGCAGACGTAGTGAACTGTCGACCCAAACAGCGTGCTGTTGTCATGACTACCAAACACCACGTCAGCCATGGAGACCTCCGCCGGACTCCCACAATCCACCACTGCAGAGAGCAGACCAATCAGGCGTCAGGGTGACAGAGAGCAGACCAATCAGGCGTCAGGGTGACAGAGAGCAGACCAATCAGGCGTCAGGGTGACAGAGAGAGGAGGAGAGCGAGGTGGACTTCTGGATCAGACATCAGGACACATGACGACAGCTGATGGACAGTTTGAACTTGTGATAAAACATGTTTCATTCAGATAAATTAAAACTGATCACTAGCTGACCGTCACTGATCACAAAGCAGCTTTAACATCTGACTATTAATATTATTATTAATAACAGACGACTTCACAGAAACACATGAATGCAGGTTCTGTTTTTTAATTAGTTTTATTAGAAAATAATCAGCCAATAAGAATCGCTCTCTGGCTAAGCTCGACTGTGACTGGTTAAGGTGCTGGCCAGAGACCGCCTCCTCCTCTTGGAGTCTGTTTCTACAGAGAGAGAAAGAAAGAAAGCAGGAGCATGAAACACAGCTTACACTTTGACCTCCAGCAGCGCCTTGGCCGACCCGCTCTCATCGCAGCAAACATGGAACCTATGTGCATACTTCCAGGTAGACTTTCAAAATAAAACTAGTGGTTAACGTTGTGAAATGTTGCAGTTTAGAAAAAGGTTTGGCTTAAAGTTGTAACCTACTTATGTGACATCACTAAAAAGGAACCTATTTTGACGCAAACACCGGTCCCCTCTGTGAAAGTCTTTTTTATAGTAGTACTTTTAGCGTTGGCACCAGACGGCAAAGGAGGTGACAAAGCGTGACTAAGGAAAGTGTGAGTTAATATCCAGGACAGGATTCATGGAGACTGAACTCTTACTTTGACAGTGAGGAGGACTGCTGCTCCACGATCCATCAGACTCACAGTCCATCTGGTAGTGATCCAGAACCTCCCCGTCCTGAAACACAAACAGAGGGCGAGACATCTCAGTCCAAACACAGCTCAGGTTCTGAGCGTGCAGAGTTTAACCAGTAGAGGGCGCTGCAGGTCACAGGACAGAGAGAAGACGTTCTGTCCTTCACTTCAGTTAAAGTCCATCAGCTCCATCAGCTGTTAGAGCAGGTGTACCGCAGCGCCACCTGCCGGTGGAAGATGTTTCAGTACTTTCTTTAGAATCAGAATATTGATCAGGTGTCAGACAGAGCTAGCGTAGCATCGCCAGCCTCGGACAGGAAGCAGGAAGTGGTTACCTTCAGCAGTCTGTATCCGAGCTCACAGCTGAGCAGGACGTGGTCTTTGAAGGAGTATTCTGATTGGATGGGGTTCAGGAGGGCGTGGGGCGGGGCTTCAGGTACAGGACAACGACTTCCTATCAGGACACAATGAAAGGATGTGTAGCAGTGTGTAGTGTGTGTGTACCTGTAGCAGTGTGTAGTGTGTGTGTACCTGTAGCTGTGTGTGTACCTGTAGCAGTGTGTAGTGTGTGTGTACCTGTAGCAGTGTGTAGTGTGTGTGTACCTGTAGCTGTGTGTGTACCTGTAGCAGTGTGTAGTGTGTGTGTACCTGTAGCTGTGTGTGTACCTGTAGCTGTGTGTAGTATGTGTGTACCTGTAGTTGTGTGTGTGTAGCTGTAGCAGTGTGTAGTATGTGTGTACCTGTAGCTGTGTGTGTGTAGCTGTAGCTGTGTGTAGTATGTGTGTACCTGTAGCTGTGTGTGTGTAGCTGTAGCTGTGTGTAGTATGTGTGTACCTGTAGCTGTGTGTGTGTAGCTGTAGCAGTGTGTGTGTACCTGTATCAGTGTGTAGTGTGTGTGTACCTGTAGCTGTGTGTAGTGTGTGTACCTGTAGCTGTGTGTGTACCTGTAGCTGTGTGTAGTATGTGTGTACCTGTAGCTGTGTGTGTGTAGCTGTAGCAGTGTGTAGTATGTGTGTACCTGTAGTTGTGTGTGTGTACCTGTAGCTGTGTGTAGTATGTGTGTACCTGTAGCTGTGTGTGTACCTGTAGCTGTGTGTAGTGTGTGTACCTGTAGTTGTGTGTAGTGTGTGTGTACCTGTAGCAGTGTGTAGTGTGTGTGTACCTGTAACAGTGTGTAGTGTGTGTGTACCTGTAGCTGTGTGTAGTGTGTGTACCTGTAGCAGTGTGTAGTGTGTGTGTACCTGTAGCAGTGTGTAGTGTGTGTACCTGTAGCTGTGTGTAGTGTGTGTACCTGTAGCTGTGTGTAGTGTGTGTACCTGTAGCAGTGTGTAGTGTGTGTGTACCTGTAGCAGTGTGTAGTGTGTGTGTACCTGTAGCTGTGTGTAGTGTGTGTACCTGTAGCTGTGTGTGTACCTGTAGCTGTGTGTAGTGTGTGTGTACCTGTAGCTGTGTGTAGTGTGTGTGTACCTGTAGTTGTGTGTAGTGTGTGTGTACCTGTAGCTGTGTGTAGTGTATGTGTACCTGTAGCTGTGTGTAGTGTGTGTGTACCTGTAGCTGTGTGTAGTGTGTGTACCTGTAGCGTGTGTGTGTACCTGTAGCTGTGTGTAGTGTGTGTGTACCTGTAGCTGTGTGTAGTGTGTGTGTACCTGTAGCTGTGTGTAGTGTGTGTGTACCTGTAGCTGTGTGTAGTGTGTGTGTGTACCTGTAGTTGTGTGTAGTGTGTGTGTACCTGTAGCTGTGTATGTGAGCCTCCAGCCCAGGTTTTCTCCTGAGTTGTCACTGTGGAAGGACACCGTGGCGGTGTTGCTGTCGGTCTGGATCTCACCTGGAGCCCGGTCCCCACAGAACGGGCCGAACTCGCTGCTGCCGGCTGTAATCTGACACGCAGACGGCCAGTTAATGACAAAGCAGATCAGGTGTGTGTGTGTGCGCGCAGGTGTGTGTGTGCGCTGTGCTGACCTTGATGTAGTCGTAGGGGCAGCTGACGTCGGGGTGATCCTCCACGTCAAAGCGGGGGTCAAACTGGAGGTGGAGCCTGAAGCCCGGTTCCACTTCAATCCGGTACAAACAATCGGAGCTCTTCGGGTACGGAGACGGGAAGTCAACGCTGCTCAGAACACCGGCGCGTTCCCTGAACACACCGTCACTGCACTCCACTGCGCACAGAGACCAGATGTTAAAGGTCTGTTAGTGACTCAACTTGAGTCCCTCAGGCTATCACTGGTTGCAAATTGAGAACAGCTGATTCAGAACAACTTTTCTATGAACAAAGTGTTGCATGAAAGACACCCAAGCAAGAACAAACCAAATCCAGATCTAATATAAAGCTGTGCGTTTGGCCTGTGGTGCTGCAGAGACGTCAGGGCGCTGCAGTGAAACGTGTTCACGAGGACTGATGTGCATTTGATTGTCTTGATGTCATGTGTTCTTCCCTCTGGCGTATCACGTCTGGTCTGAGTCTTGGTGTTAGGTTTGCCGTGCAGACATTAGGACCCAAACACAGGACACAGAGGCAGAACAGGTACAGTTTCTGAGTACTTATTAAAGAACACGAAACTTACGGCAGCGTCCAAAACACAACAAAGGTAGTCCACAAACAAAGGGTATCCAAAACGAGCAATAGAATACTAAAGTCCATGGAACAGAAAGCAAGGTCCAAAACAATCCAGCAGGTAATACTAATTAGGGATCAGGAACAGACCGGTAAGAGGAAGACACACAGGAAGAAGCTGAACAGAAGCAACAAATATTTAAACCCAGGCTAACAAGCAGGGCGGGAACACAAACAGGTACCAATAATGACAGCGGACAGACAAACCCTCAGAGAAAACCAAAACTGATACATGGAAACAGATAAACAGATATACAGGGCACAACAGGCTGTAACAAGATAAGACAAACGAACAGAACAAAGAATACACAAAACAATCACAAACACAAGCAGACAGAACATGGAAACAGACTGAAACCAGGTACACAGAACAAACTGACATAAAACAACCAAACAGGGAGAGGTAAACCACTAAGCCCGGACAGACGGGTTACAGACCACAGGACAAGAACCAAACTACAGTAGAACCCAAAACACAGAACAGAACAGATACAAACTAAACAGAGCAGAGACCCAAACTAAGACTTAACAGAGACCAGAACTTAACAAGACATTCAACCAACAGAAATGAAAACTAAGAAACAGAACAGGCAGAGAAATAAGCTAAACACTACACCATAGCAGAAAAACCGGACCAGCATCGTAACGCTTGGTTCTGCCTCTTGTCCCTCTTCCAGCCGAGGCTGCAGTAGCAGTTAGTTTGTGACCCGTGTTTATGCAGATTCTTGTTTCCTGGTGTCATCATGTCTACTGGTTTTTCAGCCCGCCGTTTTGAAGCCTCCAAGTTGGCATTTTGGCTACCAGCAGCATCAGACGTGACCATATTTGGACTAGAGGGTGGAACTAGCTAGCTTGGTTAGCAAGGTGCATCTGTAATTCACATAGGGGGTTTCTCAAAACCAAGAATGCAAAGAACGGACTTGTGTTCTTGGGGAGAACGTTCTTGCTAGTCGTTCTTGGAAGAATGAACTTGCTGCTGACGGTTTGAAATTTTGCATTCTTGTTGGTATTGCGCAATACCCTAAGCGCAGAGGGCGCCTGCAGTGCTCTAAATTGCTCTAATTATCATTACAGCCCGGCTTTATCCCCCAAAACAAAAAGCTCAGAGTCAGGTTAATTGTAGGTTTTAACTTAACAAGATATATTTGCACATACATAAAAATTATATAAAATAAAAGCAAATAAAAGGCAAATACTGTGACCACAACTCTACTGTACACTAACAATGTAATGTCTAATATAATAATATTATTATTATTAATAATAATTATTATTATTAATAATAATAATAATAAAGCAAAGAGTCCACTTTCTTTCTATTTTTGTTTATTTTTTCCGAAGTTTCACAAGACCAGATTTTTCTGTTCATCATCCAGATGTCTCTTAATTTAGGTTAAAACCTTTCAAATTAATCAGAATATAATGATAACAGCGGTACGAACGTTGCACAGCAACACGAAGGAAGTTAACCCTGTCACAGCTGATGTGCGCAGCTGTAGGGTTAGGGGTTAGGATTATGCATGCATATAATCAATAATTTAGGCTTAGGCACACACTCTGTGGTGGTTGTGGTGAGGGTAATTGGCTTCGGAGGGCTGTAAAGAGTAATATAGACTTCTATACAATCACACTGCTTTCTGCAGCCGGTGGAGTCGCGAGGAGTTACGTGTCTTGCTCAGGGACACAATGGTGGATGTGGAACAGTGGATTCGGGTTTCTCACACCAAAGCCATGTGTCTTATCCACTGCCCCATCCCCACCACCATCACCACACGTCAGAGCTCTCTGGTAACAAGGTCGCCGAGAGAAGACAAGCTGCAGAGTTCAGACCTGATCAATCAAGACTTTGACTGAACATTCAAACAACACATGTTTGTGTTCGTGTGTGTGTGAGCCTCCTCCACACAGAAATACACCGAACATGTAAATATTTACCACCAATCAGCAGCTGCTATCAGTCAGGCAGAGGTTAGAGTCCAGATACTGAACACACACACACTCGTCCTGTCGGCGCCTCCTACAGGCTGCACTGTTCACTATTGCTGCTGTTTCCCCCGTGACAGTGAACCCCCCCTGAGAGCGAATCAACGTAAACACTCAGCGGCTGTCAGATTAGGAGAAATGTTTTCAGATATCAGCGAGTAGAAGCTGAAACTCGTTACAAAGGCGCCCAGTGTTGGTCTGAGGCTGTGACTTGTCGGCAGCCGACTGTAATCAGGATCAGGCTGCTGGAATTCACATAGAAACATGTTTAAGCTCATTACGTTTGAAAAGCTCCCACACAGTCTGAGAGCTTCCAGCCAAGTCAGAGAGGCTGCAGGGTCTCACTCCGACGGCAACAGTTCACTTAAACATAATCCACTTACAGACAACAGCCACTATGATACCATGATACACTAACCTAAAGGTCCAGTCAACATGATGTTAAACACATGAAGAAGCAGATATCCGCACTCGTCATGTGGGATCAATTCTTTAACCTCTACACGCTCGTCACGCGTCAAATGATAGTTAGCTGAACTGTAACTTTAAAGTTAGAGACTGGGATTCATCTTTCGTCTAACTATGAAACTGTGAAGGTAGGAAAGAGTGTGGTCGTCAGCACAGCCTGAGCTCAGTTAGTCTTTAGCATCACCCAGGTGGAAACACAAAGAGTCGTCAATCAGAAGTTTCAGTAGAGAGATAACAGGGCCGAGTCTTTATCAGTCATTTAGCTGAGGAGTCAGTTCATTCAGATCTGGAACAATGGATCCAGAGAGAACTGGAGAAGGAGGACACGACGACAAGGAAAAGGAAGGAGACAAGCAGTGTGAGAGTAAATTCATGCCAGTCTAGTTTTCAGTGTTGGTGTGTTGTTTTGTACGGTACATTAATAAGCAATAAAAATTGTGCACTTTTGTAAAGTTTAGTTTCCCAGCAACACTTATCGGTTTTGAGCTTCACTGGGTGAAAGCTTATGGATCTGTGTTTAGAGTTTGGAGAAACGGAGCCATCATCTCGAGAAAAACTGTAAACAAGCCGGAAACTTTAACCTTTAACTTTAACCTCCGTCAGCTCGTAGTGTGAAACACTGGACTTCAGAGAGAAGCTGGGGTTTGATGCAGGCAGACAAGACGTTTAACTAACGATGAGGAAAGGTTAGGGAACGCTATGGTCCATTTTAGAGGTGTCTGAAATCGTATTTCAAGATTCTTGATGCATGAATATATGAAATATATTGAAAATATTTACAATTACAGGTAAGAAAGACTCCCCAGACACTCCTGTAATTCCAACCATGAACGCTCATTAGACAGAATGCAGATGATCTCAGCCACACTTACACAAAGTGCTGAGGATAAACACCAGAGCGTAAGTCCTAATATTTTAATTAATGCTTTCAAAAAAACAGAAATATGTTTCTCAGCTCTCATTTTAATTCCTTGTGTACTAAAACTACAGATGAAGTGAGGGTGTCCCTCTTCATGCCAGCTTTAGTTTCCACAAACACACAAACAGGTTTTCTTCCACTCAGAAACAAAAGGCCGACCTTTAAAACCAGGACTGTTCATGCTTTCTAACCTGCGGCATCACACCTTCCTCAACGGACCAGAACCGACTTCAAGGTTCAAAAGCTGTGATCCAGTCAGACGTCACATCTGGTTCTCATACTGATTCGGTACCGAGAGTCAACTTACTGCCTTTAGCTTTTCTGCTGCTGGTTTCTGGATCAGATCCTGATTCTGTTCCTTCTGTTGCCTTTCTATCTTGGTCTATCTAACGACCTTCTTATTGCATCAGACAAAGGACATGTCTCTGTACTGGTTTTATTAGATCTTAGTGCTGCATTTGATACCATTGACCATCAGATCCTATTGCAGAGACTGGAATATTCATTGGCATTAAAGGAACCGCTCTAAGCTGGTTTAAGTCCTATTTATCAGATCAATTTCAGTTTGTACATGTTAACGATGAGTCCTCCATGCACGCCAAAGTTAGTCATGGAGTTCCACAAGGATCTGGCCTCGGACCAATCCTCTTCACTTTATATATGCTTCCTTTAGGCAATATTATCAGGAAATATTCCATAAACTTTCATTGTTATGCAGATGATACTCAGTTATATCTATCGATCAAACCAGATGAAACTCATCAGTTAGCTAAACTTCAAATGTGCCTTCAGGATGTTAAAACCTGGATGACCTGTAATTTTCTAATGTTAAACTCAGATAAAACTGAAGTTATTGTTCTGGGGCCCAAGCACCTCTCACATTAAACAAACTTCAAGGACCGCCTTTTTTCACGTACGTTTCAAAAATCAGGAACATCCTGTCTCTAAACGAAGCAGAAGTAGTCCCTGTTGAATAAAATCAAAGAGAACTACTCTAGAAGTATTGTAACCTTTGACCCCTGTGCTGCTGGTTGTTTGTAACCTTGCTAACCCTGCTGGTCTCCTCGCTGTCAGACAAACATGTTGTGTTTCCAGCTTCAAACCAGCAGAACAGAAGCCATCGGCAGCCTCACCTCTGCAGGTGTGGTTGTCAGAGTGCAGCAGGTAACCGTATCGACAGGAGCAGTAATATCCTCCGATGTAGTTGTGACAGAAATGATCACAGAGCAGGTCTTCATCAGTCCGGTCCGTGCACTCGTCTACATCTGGAGAGAGGAAGCAGAGAAAGGTAGGGGTGAAAACACAGAAGAAGAATCCAGAGTGACGCGAGAAGTCAAACCTGCGTTCCGGCTTTTAAACGATCCAGGATTTAACAGGAGACTCAGACGACAACGTCTCTCGTCTCTGCTGCTGTCTGAACCTGAGGAGCTGCGCACCATCATTCTCTGTATGTTGGATACACAGCTGATTACCAACTGTAAAGCTCTCAGTTAGGAGGTCCTGCTCGGCCACCTGTAGGCTCATCGGTATATATAAGGCAAATCTTGGTCTGCTGCCATGCCACCTACGTGTCCTCTTCTTAATGCTTTCTGTCCCAAATACGCACAGAAACTGGTAAAGGGTATTTGTGGATTGTGCACCCTCGGCATGGAATACGTTGCAAAATGAAATCTTGCTTTTAAACGCAGTGCTTGCACCGGTACCGAGTACCAGCACTGCTACATTTGACTCTTTGTGGAAAAATGACTTTTCCCTAAAAAATACATTTGATTAAATACAAATTAATTTGTCAACTGTAGCTATTTATTTTACTTTATAATATGTAGCCCTGAGCATGGCCTTCTTTAAGATACCAAAAAATATATCAAAATATTCTTTCATGTGTCAGAAAAAAGACACTGAGGGGGGGGGGGCATCTTACCCCACTAGGTGGGGAAAATTCCTTTCTCCAAAAACTTACATTTGCTTAAATTCAAAATAATTTCTGAACTGTAGGTATTTATTTCACTTTATATTGTGTTGTTATTTTAGTCTTACCCCAGGCTACCCTAATGCTTATCTGGGGAGATTAAAGAGAGAGAGTGGGCTAACACAGCGGACACAGTCAGGTTTCACACCCGTTACCTTCAATAGTTCCGTGTCAAAATCTCCATTTCTCCCAGTTTTGGGATATATTGGAAAGCTAATTCAGGCAGAAGTTTCACAATTGTGATTGTTGATTCTGTCAAAAAGAAAATGTTTTATAATGAGACATTTTCCAGCATTACATCAGCCGCCGATAGCCTTTCTACTAACGAGGGTTTGTCATCAAACACATCCGTGGAATCAATTAAGTTCCACCTGTAGACATTTTTTTGATCTTGTAAAAGCAGTAAAAGAGCAGCCAGGTGGATTAAACGAGTTATTAAACACTAGCTGGTGGAAAAGTAAAAGTTAGGAGAGTTTATTTTAAGATTTTATGAAGTAAGGATGCTTCTGTATCTAAAGAACTGTTAATCTGTTTTTCCTAAATCAGTTCCTAACCCTTATTGCCATGGTTACCAGGCAGTTAGGACAGGATCTGCCAGGTTAGGAAGTTTCTGTAATACGGCCCTATATGTAATAAGGTTCCTCTCCGTCCTCACCCACAGCGCTGTAGTGAGCCATGAATCCAGAGTATCTCTCCTCGTTGGAGAAGTCGGAGGAGAAGACGACGCTGAGGGAGTTCCTGGGGGAGGTGATGAGCTGCTGATCCGGTACCGCCTCCGTGTCCGTCCCCTCCCTGCCACAGAACAGGGCCAGAACCTCCCCCTCCGCCTCCACCTGCAAACACAACAGACATCAGGGTCGGTTACTGCAGTATTACTACTCTCCCCAGTAACTAGTACTGTCAGGATTACGGTTTCCAAACTGGAAGCTAAACAGTTCTGTCCTCAGCTGGAAGTATCACCATTACTGCGTCTCAGGCTGAGATGGAAACAACTCTGTCGATTTACTGAAGCAGCAACGTGAAACTCTGGCGCTGAGCGGGAGGAGCTACAGATGCATGCTGGGAGAGAGCGGCGTTGGGCAACTTTTGAGGTTAAAACTCTGAATTCTGCTCTAATAAATGTGCAGAAAAGCAGGAGTTCAAAGGTGGAGAGAGACTTTCTTTGTTTTCTATTCAGGTCCATCTGTCCTGTGCAGCGTTTCAGCTTGTTGACTCCTCAGGTTCGTTATTGTTCCAGTAAAGTGGATTCATTTCTCCAGTTGTGGGGTGGTGATGGCGCAGTGTATAAAACACACATGCCTTTTACTTTTTAAGGAGTAAAAAGTAATAATACAATTCCTGAGTGACACAGTTTTTAAGCTGATCCCGTTTCCAGCTGAACAAACTCACTGACAGAAGAAGAAACATGAAACTCTCAGTTATCAGAGACGCAGACGCCATCTGACGTTCACCATGTTCACTGAGAGTCAACGAACAGCAGGTCACTCACAGCTGAACAGACAAAGAGTGTGAACAGACCGTTTCATCTCATTAGTCTTCTTGCAGCAGCCTCTTTAACATAACACTGCCCCCCCCTCGCTCTTTGTTTCTGAGTCTGAAGTATAAAGTACTCTCAGTGTGTACAGGGGGGGGGGGGGCTGATCACTAGTGCTGGCAAGTAAGTGTAAATGTTCAGGATCACATCTGAATATTTCCTGTAAAAGCTCGGCTGTTATTATTACGCTCAGAGGAAGGAGAGCCAGGAGAGGAGCCATGCTGGACCAGCTCCTAAAGACCCGGTCTGGACAAAATGGGACTCATGTCGACCGAGCAAAAGAAACCAGAGCCTGTTGAGCCCACATGGTCACAGAGACCTGATCCATCAAGATCGTGGATCTCGGCAGGTGGTCCGTGTTCCCGAGCTGTCAGCGCAGGACTCTGGCGAGATGACAGGAGGTGGACTACATCGATGATGCTGATGTTTATTGTGAAGATTAAACAGATGCAAATTTAAATTCTATAAATAACTGTATATATTGTTTTATTTTATATGTAACCATATTTTAATACAAACTTAACTCCAGATTTCGTTTCGTTATGCAACCTTGTGCTGTTTAATGACTAATAAACTACCTTGTTTTCCAAGGGGACAAAATCTGGCACCTGGCAGGTTTTTCGGTTGTCACCTGCTTCGAGGTTCCAAGTGAGCTGAGGCAAAACCAAAGGTGACGTGGAAACACTGCAGACTGCTGATTGAGAGGATCGATAAAAAAATTCATGTGGGAAATAACCGGTGTTTCCAGCTGAGCAGCTGACGTTAGCTCGGTCTGTTTTTAGTTCCTTCGGTGCTGACCGTAAAGCACTTTCACCAGAGCGAGTGGAGTTGAGCGGGTGGAAGAGCAGCTTTAGTTTATGACATGTGTTCAGTTGTTTTGTTTTTCCTTCGACTAACTCAGACCACGGCTGGCCGATAAGGACAAAATGTTATCACGATAATCACGTACATCATTCGATATCGATAATTATCACGATGAATTTTAATAATTATGTATTTCAAGTTTAAAAGCAAATTTTTGCTCCCCGGTGAAAGTTTAAACACTTAACAACTCTGAGGTTTAAAATAAAATCTGTTTTCAGCCCCTTTTACTCAACAAAATAAATTTCTTAACAGAAAAATTAACTGCCAACTCGTTCGTGATTCAAATGAATTAAATCAAACATTTCTTGAATATTTATTGAGCGTATTGTTATTTATCGTTCAAAACTGCGTTGATCTGGAGGCACCAGACGGCCGCCGTGTGAAGGGTCACCTGCACCCATGATCACACAGTAACACAGTCCCTCCCACTGCAGCCACTGTGGTGTGTTGAAAAATTGGAAATGAAGATGCAAAACAAACCCTCCAAAAGTGATAAAAGCCTCAACAAAATTCTAATGCTGATGCCTTGATTGCAGATTATTTCTTTTTTCTGCGGATCATTTTCTACTCTGGATTACAGTATTAAGATTTAAACTGTTTTTCTGATGAAAAAAAAAGTTTAATTTACTTTTTATCTTTTCAATGAATCTTTTATGCGGCACTTTTATTATAAGCTGCTCTTTTACACAAAATCTTCTCAAGGCTAATGATATTAGTCAATTTTAGCACGCCATAGTCAACTTTAATCATATAAAACGTCATTTCCCAACTACAAAAATGTGGCTGGTAACTTTGGAAAACCACCAACCATGTGAAGCCCTTCCCATGATGCCTTGCTGTCTCACCTTGACGTAGTCGTACTCGCACAGGTAGGACGGCTCCAGGTCGAAGTGGCTGAAGTAGAGTCTGATGTTGAAGCCGTCGGGGACGCTGATGTTCCATCGCAGCTGCGTCTCCCGGGGATACGGCTCCGGGAAGTTTGGCGACTGCAGGCTGCCGTACCTTTGTGAGAGAGACGCCGTCTGAGCGTCGGCCAGGAGGAGGAGGAGGAGGAGGAGGAGGAGCGGGAACACCAGCGGACTGAAAGATAAAATAAGGCCGGAGAGTTTCTCTCTGAAACGTTTCATCCTGTAGTTTAATGACACAGGATGTTTAGTTAATCAACACGCCTTTCAGTCAGCTCTCAGGGTAAAACTTCATGTTTCAGGCGTTAAAACGTTTTTCTGATGAAACTAAAGGAGGAGGAAGTGAAATAAAGAATATTATTCAGTTCTTATTTTCACTGTGCGATACTCAAAAGTTTTCTGATTTCTGGTTTGATCCATTAAAGATCAGAGTTTTATTCTTCACAAACACATCAATCCATTATCAGACTAGAGGCTGATTAATTTCACAGGTGAAAACTAATCGATTAATCGCAGCTCTAGAGGCCGAACTGTGTTCAGTTAGTTTAACTGCGCACACGCGCGCGCACGCGCACGCACAGGATCGATCTGTGTGATCAGCAGCTTCGCGCTTTAACCTCCTGAACAGATAAACAGGAGTCAAACTGTGACCAATCATCGGCATCATTACTGACTGATCCAGATAACTGCAGGATCAATAAGTTCCTGCGGACTGAACCAGCTCGCCCTAACAGCGGCTACAGAACCTGGTCCGGTTCGGTCCGTTAGAACCAGTTCACTGACCTCATCCTGCAGCGGGAAACTTCTCCTCCTGCAGCGGCTCCGGGTCTCTGAGGGGCTCCGGGTCTCTGAGGGGCTCCGGGTCTCTGCTCCGCACTTCAGGCTTACGTATGACGTCCTGAGGAGCTCGGCGTCATCACGTCAAGTCCGTGAGCGGAGGGGGCGGAGGAGGAGCAGGTCCTCAATGTACAAATACTGCAGTTTTACTTCTGTGAAAGTACACAGGTCGATTATTACCTCAGAGTACTGAAAGTGAGTAAAATGCAGGGTGAACTCATAGCTCTTATTTCTCTGTTCTGTATTTTCCTATTTTATTTTCATTTGTGAAGTACTTCTCACAGTATTATGTTTTAATATTCAGTGTGCAGTATTCTCTGCTTCAGTTACTCTGTCCTATACTGTAGTTTTTAAGGATTTATAAAGGATTTGTAGGATCAGCTCTACTACTCATCCGTGTACATCTCCACACATCTAGTAATATATTTCTTTATATTTTGAATTATTCTATTCTTTAATACTTTGAAGTACAAGTGAGCAACTGTCACGAAGAATTTAGGATCACTAGCGTATTTCTGATTCGGATTATTTACAGTGTATTTTGCTCTCAGGTGGATCTGCAGCTGTTCCAGGTGAATTTCCTTATTTACTCAGGTATTGTAGGCTCTTGTAGGTTACTGTACTTCTGTTGTACTTTTACTCCTCAACATGTCCCAGAACTTCAGTTACTTTACAAACTTTTACTCACAAAACACACAGAAAATGATCTATCAGCTGATTTCCCTGATAATTATCTGGTGTTTGAGATTCTCTTCTGAACGACTGTAATAAGTCAGATGTTTGTCAGTAACGTTGATCTTTGGACTGCTGGTTCTGAAGGCGCCTCTTTGGGCTCTGCAACTGTGACGGCAGAATCTTTCCAAACCAAACAACCAGCGGATCGATGGAGGAAATAATCAGCAGGTTGATCCAGAATGAAAAGAATCATCAGCTGCAGAAGGAGCTGCAGCAGCAACATCCTGCTGAGGAGAGGAGATATAGTAGTACACAGGTTTGCATCAACAAGCCATTTTACTTTAGTCATTAATGAATAACCAGTAACCCAAAAGGCACACTCACTGTTTCAGATGCGGAAAAGCTGCAGTACATCCAGAACAGCACTGACCCTGCTGAAGGTGCGCAATCACAACCACATCACCCCCATCCTCAAATCCCTCCACTGCCTTCCTGTCTCACTCAGGATTGAGAACAAGGTCTCCCTCCTTACCCACCAGTGCATCCATGGTGAAGCCCCCCCACCCCAAAATGTGGGGACATTTTAGGGCTCAGATTAGAGTTGTGACAATCCAGAATATTGGGGTCACAAGAGCAAAACTAGAAGATATTTTAATGCCATTTCTAGAAATATTCATTGATGAAAATATACGATTGGGGGGTCTGTGGGTTCTCTTCTGCCTTCTGGAGTCATTTTCTGCACCAATTTATGGTGGAAATGTCTTTATTTATATAAAGGGGAACACAAATTCAGAATATAAAAATATAATGGAATATAATGCAGAACAGTAAATTGTTTTTTTTTCCATCCATCCATCGTCAACGGGGGCTGGAGCCAATCCCAGGGGCTGCGAAAGGCGGGGTACACCCTGGACAGGTCGCCAGTCCATCGCAGGGACTAATTGTTTTTTTAACTCGTGTAATTTTTTGGGATAATGCAGATCTGTTTTTCTATATTTACATTGCATTGCATGTTTTCTTATTGTGCAGCTCCAGTTAGGAGGCAATTTTCAATGCACATTTAAGAGTGTAAGGTTCAACTGTTATTAACAATAATGGAAAGCTGAGGCAAGAACATGTGCAGTTCTGTCATTACAGAATATTATGAACAGTGATTCAGCTGCAGGCTTCCCGAAACACCGAACAAGTTTGAGTTTGCTCGCGTTTCACATCTCCTTCTGTGATTCCCATCAGTTCATTTCAAACTTGCGCAGAGTGACCGCCGCGCAGCTGTGTTGTTGTTGTTTGGTAGGTGACGTCAGATCCCAAGCGGGGTGAATTTATGAATGAACGTGTGAAAGTTCTGCCACAAAACGATGATGTTACGTATCATGTCGCTATTTTAAGCGGGTCTACGGAAATCTTTGACCGTTCCTAGCCGGTAGGCTATACGGCGTATCACGCAGACCACACCACTGTCCACACAAACCCTCCCATCTGAAAACCTCCCAGGGCCAAGCTCCCTACAATGGGAGCTTCTGCTCAGCTGGAAATAGTTATGGGCCTATAATGAATGAGGGCTGGAAGCCTTTAAACAGACACTAGTAAGTTTTAAGGACTAAAAGTTAAACGATCTCGCTGCGTAAAAAGAACCATCTGTTAGTTACATGTTGTCCACCTGCAGCGTCTCACCTGAAACTGCACAGAGGCACCGGAGGGGGGCGCCACCTGACCTCCGTGTGCGTGTGAACCTCCATCTGTCATCTAACCTCGCTGCTGCCGTGGAGACCTGAACACTAAGGAGCCCGGGACCCGGTGAGTGCGGAGTTCTGGTTCTGCTGGATCCGCAGCTGTTGGACTTGGGTCTTATTGTCTGGCTGTCTGAGGGAGGCGGAGGAGGAGGAGGCGGAGGAGGAGGAGGCGCTGCGGGGTTCCGGGGGGTGCTGCCCTCCTCTGGTCCTCCTCCCCCGGCTCCTGCAGCCTGACACCGAGCCATGCCGAGCCGACAGAAGCAGATCCTCTTCTCGGTCTCCGGGCTCTTCGGCCTCTCCTGCGCGCTGACGGCCGCGGTGGCCACCGGGCTGCCGTTCTGGGTCAGCGGGACCGTGCTGTGCCGGACCGGGGCCGAGCTGGTCAACGCCACCGGAGCCGAACTGGACAAGTTCCTGGGAGACCTGAGCTACGGGCTGTTCCAGGGAGTGCGGGTGAAGCAGTGCGGGCTGGGAGGCAGACCGTCCCGGTTCTCATGTGAGTGTTTGTCAGGTCCGTTAGTGCAGGTACACCTGAGTGACGTCACGAGCGGAGCCCAGGTAACAGTGGAGGTCTTTCCCCTCCTCACGTGATCTCAGCTGCCCGTTAATTATTCAAAGCTTCGCTCACAGAAGGTGGTGAATAATTCACAAGATGCAACAGTCTCTAACGACCGACCGACCGATTAATCAATTAATCAATAATATTTAACAGCAGAACCAGCAGGCAGCCAATCAATTAATACTAGATACTAATACTAAAGGTGATGTATTGATCATGTGACTGACGCCTGTGTTTAAGGTACTTGTACTTTACTATTTCCATGCCATGCTACTTCATACTTGTACTGCACTCCAGCTGCTAACTTCAGGTACTTTTTATATATTTAATACAAAAAATACTAATCAACTAATAAATGATGACGTCTTATTATTGATCGATCAGCCTTCACTGACCCCCGAATGCATCACTGATTCTAATAATATTTATGAGTCTGCATGAGTACTTTTACTTCAAATGTATTTGAATGTTAATACTTTAGTACTTTTATAGTTTGAATCCAGGACTGTGGTTTGTACGTCACTGCAGTACTTTTACTTCCTTCACCGCAGCCTGAGTGTTGTTGAGCCTCTCTGTCTGCTCACATTAAGAACGAAGCGCTCAGCTGTCAGAGTGGCCATAAAAATAGGTACACCTGCATGATGTCATGAAGTAACCCTGTAGGCCAATCAGAGTTGAGGAACTTTAAGAAGTCTCATTGTGTAAAAAGATTTGATGTTTGGATCCTCTGACACTGAAAGTAATTCAGCTTCTCCTGAAGAGACAGCGTCGGCCTCGTCACACGTGTCTCTGGAAATAAGGACCAGAACTTCACCAGACCTGAACCACATGTTCACAGACAGTCATTAAACACAATAAAGCAAATATGGGATCAATACGTTCATCCATCTTAAACACGCTTAATTTCTAGGAAATAAAAAAGGTATGTATAAACATGTCTGTCACTGCCTAACAGGTGACCTACAGCCAGCACTTCAAACTGGGGCCCTGTGAAAATGAGAGACAACTAAATATATAATAATAAACACAAAATCAAATAGTATGACTACGAGACAATAAAATGTGACTGCAGATAAATTATAAATCACTAATAAGTGATGGACTGAATAGATTTATTGACTATGACTATAATACACACTGTTCATCACTCCTACTTTGATTTAATCAGTTTCCTCTGCAGGAGCCAGGAACAGGTTCAGACCAGACAGCTGGTCCCTTCGGAGCCTCGGCCCTGAAGAAAGTAAAAAGTCCCAGCTGTTCTGGGGCAGTAAAGGTAACAGGATGTGTTGCAAAGCGCGGTGCTGCCCTCTCGAGCCGTGTCGGGCCCTTTAAGCTCTGACCAGGTGAGGGTTCAGGGTTCGGGGTCCTAGTTTGTAGAACATGATGGAAAGATGCTGGGAGGTGTTGGCACGTACAGACAGGAACAGATGGTGACCTGGTGGATCAGGTATCTGCAGGTTTTAGTGGATCAATAGTTTCATGAGTTATTGAAGAACTTCCTGTTTCAACTTGTTTGCACGCCGGCAGAATAAAATCCCACCGACACCAAATCTGTGAGGAGTTTGGATCCAGTGAAAAGAAGTTTGGTCTGGTTCCGTCTCTGAACCACCAACAGGACTTCAGCTAGACTCGGTTTCATGATTCTTGTAGCGACACTGGTCCCATGAAATAACGGCCACAGATCATACAGACGTCAGACAGAGAGTTATTTGATCTCACTCTCTCCTTCGTCATTGTGAAAACTACAAGAAAAATAAAGGGCAAAGGCTTCAAACATTCATCTCCTGTTCATTTAAAGTCTCTGAAGCTAGTGTCTGCTGATGAACACAACCAAAATACAAGCAAATCCTAAAATATCACCAAACACAAAGACTAATGTAATGTAATGATGTCCTTCCTCTGCACCCACATTGTCTCTTACCCATAATGCCATGGTTCTTATGCCTTCAACTTAACTCTGGTCATGTGACACGTCGAACATTTTTAACTAACCTTATTTAAAATGGCACATTTTGTAACTCTGACCCATTTTCACATCTTCACGTTTCTTCATTTTAACGGCCGTCTGAACTCAAAGATTCCTGAATTTATTAGGGAACAAGCTAAATAAACAGTTACAGTTCTCTTTCCTAACGGACCTCTGTGCTCCTGTTCTATGATTATAGTACAATAATAATCTCTTTATTATTCTGGGAACGTGTGAACCCTCCTCAGAAGCAGGGTTTTCTTTGTGGTGGAGGTCTGAGGCTGGACCCGTTCACACAGTTAATGAGAGCAGCCGTCCTTCACTAACGAGTTTCTGCCTGACCGGATCAGAACTGGCTGTTCCAGTTCTGATGGGAAACAAAGCAGCTCTGTTCCTGCAGCCGCCGCACAGGAGAGCCGACGATCAGGCAGCAGAACGCCACCTTCAGGGGCCCCGTAAACTCCGGCAGGCAGATGACACAGTTTTATATTGTGCTTCCACCCCGGCTCTCTCAGCTCCAGGTCCAGGTCTCTTCATTCCAGGTTTTAATTTCAAAACAAGTCCTGAAGAAACTGGTCCAGACTCCTGTTTGTCGGGGCCTGATTACAGGGACCTGCTGTCCCCGTGCAGCGCTGAGTTCATAGGCGTCATTTACACTGGGGACATGTCGCCACCACCTTTTTGAAAGCATTTGCTAAAAGTTTTCTGAAAATTAGCTTGCAGCAAGAAATGTTAAATATAACAAATATAAATTCTATGAGAAAGTTTTACAAGAGGAAAACATGAAATGCAAAGCAAATATGGAAGAAACAGATCTGTCTTGTCCAAAAAAAGTAAAAACAAGCTGCTGATTACTGCATTGGATTCAATATTTTTATAATCTGAATTGTCGCCTGTCACATGAATTTTGTTTCCCTTCGTATAAATAAGACATTTCCACCATGAATTGGAGCAAAAATGTCTCTAGAAGGCAGGAAATCAAGAATTTAAGGCCCCCAGACCCCCCAGTCAAATTGCCTGTTTCATCAATGAATATTTCTTCTAAATAGCGTTGGAGTATCTTGTTGTCCAATATTCTGCATTCTGTGTTTCATCACAACCATAATACAGAAGAGCGCTCACACCTCGCTGCAGAATATACGAAACACACGTTTGGATTGTCTTGTTGTCGTTTTACGTCTGCACCGTCAGACTTGCTGTCCTGCTGCGATTTTATCTCAGCAGGTCGTCTTCACTGGTTAAAATAAGGTTGATTAATAAAATAAAATAAAAAGGTAGAAGCAGTCCACAAGATGGAAACACTCCAGCAGAGGACCTGGTTCTTTATAAACTCACGTTCTTCTGTTTCCAGTCTTCCCGGACCTGCTGAGCGCCATTCCAGCGGGCCTCCATATCGCCGTCATCTTCTTCTGTGGTGTCGTGATCCTCTTCTCCTCGGTGGCCACCGGCTTCTTCTTCTTCAACGCCTTCGGCAGACCGTACGAGACGCTGCAGGGCCCCATGGGACTTTACCTGTGGACCTTCATCTGCTGTGAGAAACGCACGACATCATTAGTCTCTGTTGTCAGTCAGGTGTTAACCCATCGATCCATTAGCTGCAGCCGCTGATCCTCTAGAGGACACCTGGACAGGTTAAACGCCGCAGGGCCGACACAGAGAGACAGAGGACACGCTCACGTTCACTTTAGGGTCACCAGTAAACCTGCATGTTTGGACTCTGGGGAGGGGGGTTCTGGTGACTGCCTGGGACAGAAAAGAAGGGCATGTTGGGTAGAGACTAAATAAGTAGTGTTAGATTTCCTACTGTCAGCTGACCCAGTGCATCCTGGGATACCAGCCAGCTCCCCAGGAAATGGCTTCAGAGTGGACTGAAGTGAATTTAAAGATGCAGACAGTCAGTGTGTCGTCTGATAATCGCTGCAATTACAGACACAGAGACTGAGGCGGTGGGGGGGGGGCACGCTGTGGTTTGATTTCACTTAATCTGTGTTTGTTGGAGTACTCTTCATAGAGACTAGCTGTCAATCACACTCTGTGGGTGGTGCTCCAGTGTGGAGGAGAACGGAGGAGCAGGTCAGCTGAGGCGCTCCGTGGGTCAGAGGGGAGCTCAGCTGGTCGTCGTAGTGAACGAGAAGGCTGATAAACAGGGGTGCGGGGGGGGAACTGTATTAGTTAACGTGTGCAGGAAGCGGCCTCTAAAGTTCACTTCACGTTAAGCCCCCAGTGAACATTCGTAGGCGTAGACGAGCAGTGACATACAGTATCTCGCAAAAGTGACCGCTCACATCTGTTCATGTTGTCAACACATATGACACTGAAGAAATGACTCTTTGCTCCAGTGTAAATTAGTGAGCGTGCAGCTTGTATAACAGTGTAAATTTGCTGTCCCCTCAAAATAACACATCGCACAGCCGTTAATGTCTAAACCACTGGCAACAAAAGTGAGGACACCCCTAAGTGAAAATGTCCAAATTGGGCCCACAGTGTCAATATTTTGTGGGGCCACCATTATTTTCCAGCACTGCCGTAACCCTCTGGGACATGGAGTTCAGCAGAGCTTCACAGGTCGCCACTGGAGTCCTCTTCCACTCCTCCATGACAACATGACGGAGCTGGTGGATGTTAGAGACCTTGCGTTTGAGGAGCCCCGCAGATGCTCAGTAGGGTTCAGGTCTGGAGACATGCTCGGCCAGTCCGTCACCTTTACCCTCAGCGTTTTTAGCGAGGCAGCGGTCGTCTTGGAGGTGTGTTTGGGGTCGTTATCATGTTGGAATACTGCCCTGCGGCCCAGTCTCTGAAGGGAGGGGCTCCTGCTCTGCTTCAGTGTGTCACAGTTCATGTTGGCGTTCATGGTTCAGACCAGTTTGATGCAGTGTGCGGCGTACGGTCTGAGCCCTGACAGACTGACCCCCCCCCCTTCAGCCTCTGCAGCAATGCTGGCAGCACTCATACGTCTGTTTCCCAAAGACAACCTCTGGATATGACGCTGAGCACGTGCACTCAGCTTCTTTGCTCGACCACGGCGAGGCCTGTTCTGAGTGGAACCTGTCCTGGTGAACCACTGTATGGTCTTGGCCACCGTGCTGCAGGGTCAGCGTCAGTTTCAGGGTCCTGGCAGTCTTCTTACAGCCTCGGCCATCTTTATGTAGAGCAACCGTTCTTTTTTTCAGATCCTCAGAGAGTTCTTTGCCATGTTGAACTTCCAGCCACCAGTATGAGGGAGTGTGAGAGCGATAACAACAAAGTTAACACACCTGCTCCCCATTCACACCTGAGACCTTGTAACACTAACGAGTCACATGACACCGGGGAGGGAAAATGGCTAATTGGGCCCAGTTTGGACATTTTCACTTCGGGATGTACTTACTTTTGTTGCCAGTGGTTTAGACATTAACGGCTGTGTGATGTGTTATTTTGAGGGGACAGCAGATTTACACTGTTATACAAGCTGCACACTCACTACTTTACACTGTTGTTAAGAGTCATTTCTTCACATGAACAGATATTATCAGATATTTACACAGATGTGAGGGGTGGACTCACTTTTGTGAAATGCTGTTCTTGCCTGGAGGATTAAACGTCTATCCAGTAGTGGGCAGATCAGAGCTGGACACTGTAGGAGGTTATGATGTCGGTAAATATGGAGAAGCTCCAGGACGCTTTCTTCCTGCCTGTCAGATCCTGATATACCGGCACCACGTTCAGCTGCTGAACTGCATCTTGTAGACGTAGCGTTCACTTCTGAAGACGTGCACATCCTGCACTATGGAGTTCATGTAGACGGTGCAGACCAGTAGTCACTCAGCGGCATTAGGGCCTTGGATTTGATTCTGGAGGCCCCGGGTAGCAGATAGATGAACATCTGAGACTCAGCTGTGGAGATGTGACGTCCTTATATTCATCCAGACCAATCAGACAAGAGTTTGCTCTGCATTTAATGAACATTTAAAGCTGAAAACTCTCTCTAACCCGCCGTTGTCCTCCTGCAGGTCTGTGCAGCTGCCTGGTGATGATTCTGTTTGCGTCGGAGGTGAAGCTCCATCATCTCTCCAGCCGGATCTCCAACTTCAACGAGGTGAACTTTGTCTTTCAGACGTACAGCGAGCGCTACGACCGATCCTTCTGGCTCTTCTTCCTCGTCTTCCTCCTCCACGGACTCAACGTCCTGCTGATCCGACTGGCGGGAATCCAGTTTCCCTTCCAGGAAACCAAAGAGGCGGACCTGAGCGGGGGGGCGGCCGACCTCATGTACTGAGGGGACCTGAAGAGGGGCCGAAGCCTTTAAAGGACAAAAGGATGAATCTGGATCTCAGACGCAGTGCGGCGTTTTCATTATAGGTTCTTTTTTATCAGTTTTATCTTTAACGTTTCCAAGAAAAGCAGAAAATATTCCAGTTGAAGAAGATTTAAAACAGAGGTTTTCAAAGTCTGGGACTGTCCCCCCTGACAAAGCTTAGGAAAAAAGCACCACCAACCCCCCATTAAGGCCAATTCATGCTCCTACAGCGATTCTGACTCTAGAAAATAACCCCCCAAACTACTGTCTCTCTGACTCTTCATCCAGATCACACACTGTAGGATGTTCTGTGTGACCTCCTTTCGATAGCTAATGTAATATATATTCTCTGAGCCCCCCCTGAACCAGCCTGGACCCCCCAGAGGAGGCCCTCCTCCCACTTTAACAACCTCTGTTTTAAAAGATTACAGCATCAGCTCAGCTCTCGATCAGTCCGTCAGATATTTAGTAATATAAATGTGATCATATTGAAAGTCACTTTGTCGTTGTTCTCTGCTTTTTATTAACTGATGTCCTTTATAAACTTTTATTAACTTGAACGTGAAGGTTCGACACAGACAGATTTTATTCACCGTGAGTATGTTTTCTACATGAAAGTGTTTGTGGTCAGGTGGCCGTAGATGAAGGTAAACTGCCGTCAGCTCAAATGATCTTTGATTCAGTCGAGTGAACGATGTTGAGACAAAGTGTCAAGAGATAATAAAGGAATAAATTAAATGATTCACACGTTTTGTTGTCTTGTGTTAAGCCACCACACGCTGAGGAGGCTTCAGTCTGTGTCCCCCTGCTGCAGGTCCAGGTCTGCTTCACCTGGACTGAGTCTGAACGGAGCTTCAGATTACGGTGGTTAAAACAGCATGTGATGTGTGTCTAACAGCGGGGGCGTCACTTTGTGAGCGTGCACAATATTAGGGTCACTATTTTGAAGAAATAATAATAATATCTGCAGCTTGTTTTAAGCTTAAATAACTTTTTTTGGACAAAACACATTTGTTTCCTCTATATTTAAATCTGCTGCTGGTCCAGGATGGGAGGTGGCTGCTGGGTAGGCAGATCCAAGATGTCAGTCCTGGACCTGGTCTTTTTGGTGTTTCCTCAGCCAGAAGAATTTCCAAAACAGTTCAGCTGGTTGTTTATCTGTTGGGCCGCAGCTTCCTGTTCTGGTTCCCTCTCAGAGGAAATAAGCTGCTGCCAAGTTCAAGACCTGGACTCAGCAGGAGACGGTGTGTTAATGTTGTTTCTGCAGCATCAGAAACGGACACTCTGTTGGTGAGACGCTGTTTGTCCTCTGAGTCTCTGGACCGAGACTCTGACGTCGCTGGAGGAGAAGGACAGTCTGAGAGGCCTTTCTTCTTCTGGTCCCCTGCAGAGACACCGACACTGTCAGTCCGTCTCATCGGGAGATTTGGACCTGTTGACAGAACAGAGCCAATCTAACAATCCGGTCTGACGAGGACCCGGATCCTGCTGCGGTCCTGCAGGGGGGGTCGGTGTCGAGTTGTTTCCATCATGTGTTTAATCGTGGTGTCTTGTTCAATAGGACGGCCAATTAAAGGCCAGGATTTCATCCGGATGTTGGCAGACTCAACGGGTCTGAACCTCGTGTTATTATCCATTATTGTTTATTATCATCATCAGACCAGCTGGACCGCACTTCTTTTTAAATATCCGTCAGCTTACACTCAAAATAAAAACAGACGTGTTTCTGCAGGTTCTGCTGATCAAAGACATTATCAGTGAAGATAGATATTGATCATATCTGTTAGCCAATCAGGATCGGGTCCAGTCGCCTTTGATTCAACCCTCGTTGGATCACTCTGACCTGGATCAGTGAGACATCTTGATCTTATTGATCCATACGGAATCATTTAATTCTGTTTCTACTGAACTATCAGGATATTAACTCTGTTTGTCTCGGTGCTGCGTTACATTATTTATGTAATGAACCGTTTGAATATTAATAAAAATACTTGTGTTTAAGATGATAAAACTGTGAGAATCCTGTTAGTATCTTTGATTAGTGGACCGATTGATTTGCCTTTAAGACTCAACTCAGGGCAACAAACACACGCTGTGTCCAAGGTGCTCAGTATTGATTGTGTGTGTGTGTGTGTGTGTGTGTGTGTGTGTGTGTGTGTGTGTGTGTGTGTGTGTGTGTTGAACAAAAAGCTTCCCGTCTCTCAGGTGAAGCTTCAGTCTGATCGGCTGCAGGTAAGATCCTCCTCACCTCTCTCTCTGTTTCACAACCAAACTGTAAAGTCTGATTTTGTATTTTTATTTAAAGGGACAGTGCACATTAATCAACACCGTAGTTAGACATCAGTGTAAATGTACCGGAGTTTGCTAAATAGCTCATTTTCATCAGTGTTTCAGAGCTCAGATATCTTCAGTTATTAATTACAGATATTGTTTTTAAATTGATCTCTTCCTCCTTTAATGATCGTAAAGATCTGTTGAAAGACTTCAGACTGAAACTGAGCAGTGATGTTTGAGCAGTTTAAACAAACCTCAGGAGGATTTTAAAACTTGTACAATAAAGAAACAGAGTTCATCTGCAAAAACAGATAAAAGTAATTTCACCAGTTTGATCTTCAATAAAATACTTCAAATACAATTTATATAAAGACCAAAATCAAAACATTTGTTCTTTATATTAAGTTGCTTTAAATCCTAATCCTTCTGTTTAAACTAACTCTGCTTTGTATTCTTTATAAGTATTAAAGTATTGAGTATTTAAGAAGTACTTAGTATTATGAATATTAAAGTATTATGAGTATTAAGTATTATGAGTATTAAAGTATTATAAGTACTAAGTATTATGAGTATTAAAGTATTCTATGGCAGTGTTTAATCTTTCTTCTTGGCCTGCTGTCTGTTTTAAATGTGAAGCTCTCTGAGCTGCACGCTCTGTGTATCAGTAAAGTTTATTATTTTTATTATTTAGCTTCTAAAATGACTCGTTCAGCTCAGAGTGGACTCCGTCCTCCTGCTGCAGCTCTGTCAGACGACGTGACTTTAACTCCATCAGGTTTCAGTTAAACTCTGAGACGGGTTAAATGTTCAGGTTCCCAACACGTTCCCTCTGCTGTGTTTGCTGGTGATGGAGGACGCAGTCCAACACGCCGCTCCGCCTGGCGGAGATGTGGTGACTGTCAATCATTTCCATCCTCATCACAGCATCCAGCGGGCTCTCGTCCTGTGAACAGCTCGTAGTGATCTGCAGTGAGCTCCCTCTCTATAAAAGGCACAAGGGGACACGACAGAGCCCCGCGGGGTCCTCTTGGTGCAGCGGCCCCCGGTGGAGAACCCGGTGAAGGACTCCTCTGACACAGGACTTGCTTCTCTGCAGCCCCGTGCTGAGGCTTTCTGCTCCGCTGAACTCTCAGATGGAGATCCATCTTTGTGATGAGGGTTTTATGTCCTGCAGCCCGACGGCAACGCCCCTCTGGGTGCAGCTGACGGTCTGATCAGGTCTGATCAGGTCTGAGTCTCTGAGCTTCAGCTGCATGTTGAGCCTGTTAGCTGCTGATTGGACCACCTGTGAGGAAACATTTGATCTGTTTCTCCCCTCAGTTATATACCAAACACACACACGTTTTATATTTTCAGTCTCTTCTAACTGAAATCTTTGACTCTCTGTGTTCAGATGGAGGCGGAGCTGCAGCAGATCCTGGATCAGGTGTCGGACCTGCAGGACTGGAGGGAAGTTTTTACACATTAACAAAACATTTAACAACAAAGTTTACATTTACAGAGATCGATCTGCCTGTCCAGTCGACTGATTGATTGATTGATTGATCGATAGTTAAGGCTTCTGTATGTGTCACTTTCTCTGCAGGCTGCAGGCAAACCATGGGATCGTAAGTATGTTTGAATATATACAACTTTATACCATCTGTACATAAATTATATAAACCTCTGGTTAACATATATAATAACTTCTGACTTGTAGTGTGTGTATAGATAAATAAATCTATAAATATAATTACATTTTTAATCTATCCAATTCAATTTTATTTATATGACGCCAAATCACAACAACAGTTATTCTCTGAGTGCTTTTAATAAAAGAGCAGGTCTAGAGCGTACTCTGCGATGATATTTACAGAAACCCAACAGGTCCTACGCGTGTATAGATACAAAGCATCAGCAGAGTATCTGTACATCTATCTTTAAATCTGTTTATCTTAACATAGAAAAGTTTTGTCATCTATCGATACATCAATAAATCTCTAAATCCATTAATCTATCCATCCTCCATACACCTCTAAATCTATTTACATTATGAAATCTGACAACATTATTAAATCACTGGGGAGTTATTTTAGTCAGGTGGGCTCTGTGACCTCAGACAGTAAACCTGCTGTTGATTGGTGTCTGTGTGAGCCAATCAGAGGAGCTGCTGGGCCTGATGCTCTGCTGCGCTGTGGTCAGTTTCCAGCAGAATCTGATCCTGTAACACAAACTCAGTGTTCAGTTTCACCGCTGAGCTGCTGTTCGTCTCAGCAGCAGGTAGTCAGGAGCAGGTAGTACTACGGTTAGTACCACAGAGAACTGCAGTAGAACAAATATTAGCATCATCACGTACATCTTTAGTATCAGGTTAGTTATGTTAGTGTGACATAAGCTGTGGCAGAAAAAGCAGTACTGTAATATTACTAGTAGTAGTTGGTAGTTGTTGGTGATGACAGACCGCAGGCTGGACTACATCGAGCTGCTTCAACAGGAAGTCAACAAGAATCCTGACGTGAGTGACGACAGTTTACTTTATGATACTACTGTTTCTCAACAACTACTACAACAATTACTGTTATGACTACTAGTGTTACTACTGTTACAACTAGGCTACTTGTACTTTATTAACTTCATTAAGTTACGAATACTTTCGAGGTTCTTGATGTCCATACAAGCCTTCAGAGTTCAGGGTCCAGGTCCAGTGATCCACATTCTGTCTGTAATGAGCCCTGCAGCCCGCAGGGGGCGCTGACAGGGATTTAAACTTGTGGCTGGGTGGGAGCAGGTGAGGTTGTCGTCGTCAGGTGTGCTGAGGCGTTTCCTCCTCTCCTCAGAGGCTGGTGGATGTGACGAAGGAGGAGGAGCAGGAGGAGGCTCCTCCACCCTGCAGGACCCTCCCACAGCCCTGCTCCATCCCCAGGACTCTGGTCATCCCCCCGGGCCTCGGAGGGACACCGGTCACCCCACAGCTCACGGAGGTGAGACTGTCTGAGACACAAACCTTCACTTAAAGTCTGTTTCCAGTGGAAACATGAGCCGGTTCCCTGTCACCGGTCCTGCTGCTGTCTGGAGATTAAACTGACCCCAAACTGACCTACGTAACAACAGCTCCAGCTTGGAACTGGGTTTGCTGGTGTGACGTCACTGTTGGTTTGTGGACCACCGTAACTCGGAAGCCTCGAGTTACTTTGGCCGCACTAAATGATTTTTGTATCACAAGTTCAATTTCTTTTTTTTTCAGCAAATTGTAACAAATGTGATCTGCAATAATAAAAAAAAAAAGTATAAAACATTTATCATAAAATCAAAAAAATTAAAAAGTTATTTTGGCCGCCGTGTTGTTTTTTGGAACCAGACGTGACCATATTTGGATGAGAGGGTGGAGCTAGCTAGCTTGATGAGCTTGGTGCATCTGTAATTCATGCTAACTGTGATATTAGCTGGGATGCTAATTTTGGCTAGCGACAAACAGGCTAAAAAGAAAACGTACTTACTGAAAAATGAGCAGCCGACTCCTGGTTGGCGCTGGTTAAATGTACACAGAGCAGCAGATACGAGTCGCCTCTATCCTGATAGACCCGTGGTAGTCACCTTGTAGCTCCGCCCTAAAGCCTCCCCTGCTTCCTGGTCTCTGTTCCTCTAAATGGGACCATAATTTACTAAATGAACATCATGCTGTGTTGAAGAAGACTTGAAACCAGCGACTGAGACCATAAACTCATCAGGGAAGTGTTTACTGAGGGAATAAATCAGCTGACAAGTAGAAACATTTTCTCACAGACTTCTATACAATCACACTTCTTGCAAATACAACATGACGACACAAAGTGATCGGACTAAACTCCAATAGAGAGCAAACAACATGTTAATCCTGAATTTAGTTTTTTCAGTCCGCCTGTTTCGGAGTTCCAGACCCGAGCGAGACAACAGGGCCTGTGTGGGTATGGAAGATCTAATTGGACTTTATTATGTAACCCACAGAAGACAATCCACAAAGGGGAGTCACGAATGAAACGTGAAGTGATCCACAAATGTGCAAAACCCATTTCACACATACAAATCCCACTTCATAGGACAGACTGTGGATTTTCTTCTGTGGGTTCCAAACACTTAAGTCCAGAAAAATCTACCACATGTGGGCAAATATACATCTGCCAAAAACAGAGATTTGCTCTTTCCAAACTCGAACTTCAATGTTTTCCAAACATTTTTCCAACCTATGCACACCAGGTCACCGTTTATAAGATTCAGACCAGGAAAACAACGTGATGCAGCAGAAGAACGACAGCAAGCTGCAAAGTGTGTTGGAGAAACACGGGAAAACTCAAAAGCTATTTTTTAATTCTAAGACTGACTCTAATTTTTTCAGCCTCCCTACAGATTATTTATTAGATTTCAACCTGTCAGGGCTTCTCTTTCACTTTCAAACTATGACATAAGATTCATCCAGCCGCTGCTTCCTCTTCTTTCCTTGTGGTAATATGTGGTTGTTTGAGAGTCCACTCCAGCCTTTGTACAACACATTTTCCCTCCCGACTCGTCACACATGGACGCTTGGTCAGACCCCTTGGCGTAGCTTTTTTAGCGTCGTTTATGGACGTGTAGAGCTCCGCGGTCAAGTTAGCAACTGTACATATGCAACGGACTTTCAAACTATTGGTTAACGTTACAACTGAATGTCGCAGTTTGGTTAGGTTTAGGAAAATATCATGGTTTAGGTTGAAATTACATTAACTTAACTTTGTGTTCCTCAGTCCAACCCAACCGACTTTTACTGTTAAATATCCAGATCCAGATGGGATCCAGATCAGCTCTGTACTCATGTTTCTGCTTGTTTCTGTGCTTAGAGCCTGAGGAGGATTCTGTTTGGTGGAACGTTTCACGTCTTCAACTACGAGTGGAGGAAATCTTTCTTTCAGTTCAGAGAGCCGAACTCGGAGTTGTCCTACGCTCTGGAGACTGACAGGGTGAGATCCTGGCACAGATACTACTTTCAGTCCTGCTGTTAGGAGGTACTCTTACTTATCTTTCCCAACTTATTCGACCGTTACTGTTGGCTGCTACTTCCAGTTCCTTAACTTAATTCCTACAACCACAGGTACCGTTATCACTACACCGGTCTCTGCACTGTTTTGGTATCAGTCTCACCTGGTCAGGTATCTGTGTGTGTGTGTGTGTTTCAGGGCGGGGCTCGGGCCATTCAGATGGTCGTCCAGGCTCGTATCATTAAATACTTGCTGTTCGTCCGGCCGGGCAGCTCGGACGGTCGGACGCTGCACAGGTGAGCACAGATCTGGTGTCATTCTTCATTACGTGATCTTGTTTGACATGTGCAGTAAAGATGATACCTGCAGACAAGTTCACGCTGGAAAACGCACCTGCAACATGATCTGACAGATGCAGCCTGAACTATGGAGCTTCATCACCTCACCGACCCAACAAACATTAAATGATCCTTTCAGACTTACTTTTGTTTCTCTCGGAAAGGTCAGACCTGGGAACACGGTGACGTCACTAACTGCAAGCAGTAAAGTAGTACCGACATGTTATTGCGGGGACAAGGGTAGCTGACGAAAGCTTAAATGAACCTTTCAGCATCAATGAGTCTGTGAGGGTCCAGAACACCTCCATGTGCATCCCAAAATCTATGACCACGTGGACCGTCCTCGCTGCTTATGCAGATACCCACTGCGGTCCAAACAGAACCACGTGTAAACACGCTGCCTCAGGTGTTCCCAGACCAGACAGGAAATAAAACCCTGGTACTTGGTACTTCTGGGTCTGCGCCAGCATCTTGATAGAAGTCCAAACCACCTCAAAGTCAAAGACGTGGAGGATCAGTGGTTGTTACTGTAGTGAAGTTAGATAGTTCTACTTCTGGAGGTCCAGGTCAAGGTGGCAGCTGGCTAAGCAAAGGTTCTTCTCTTCAGCATTGTCCTCCTTTCTCAGACCTGATGGGATATGTAACCCCTCCACAGAATGCAGGACAGCGGGGCAGTTAGATTTGTCCAGAAAAGCCCCATCCAGCATCCAGGAGGACGCCTGATCAGATTCCTGAACCACCTTAACTGACTGTTTGACGTGACGGTCCCCAAGACATTTTCCACCACAGGATGAAAACAAACCTACGGTTATCAAAAAGGCCAAAAAGATTATTGGCCCTCTCTTGCACCCAGCACAAAGCAACGCAAAGCACAGCACAAGTGTTTCAACCGGCGCAGTTGACATTTGCACGCCAAGCGAACAAGTTGTTTAAATAGCAAATGCACTTGCGCCCATCTGTGAGCCGAGTGTTGGTCTTAAAATGAGGTGTGGTCAGGCACATTGTTGGTGCGTTGCTGAGGCAGCAGAAAGCGATTGCACCATTGACCAAATAAAAAACGGCACACTATTTCACTGTTTTGGTTATTTTAGGGGTGCGTTACTGTGACACTGTGCACATTTACCCACGAGGCACAGCAGCGTAACTTCATTGATTATTAAAATCTCCGACACGCCAGCAGGATCGGTCAAGATCTAATGTTAATTCATGTTCTCCATAATGGGCTTGCACATGGTTCTGTTTACACTAAACTGGGTATCTGTGTATGCAGACGTGTTCATAATTGGCCCTTCGCTAAGCCACGCCCTGAATACACAGCTGGCCAATCACAGCGCAGTATAGGTCTCGCTCTAAATGAGGTCTGAGACTTTTATGGCTGCGCTGCATCGACTCTGATGCAGAAAGAGTCGTTTTCCAGCTTTTTTCTGGCTGTATTTTTCTCAGATCTGGTCAAACGCTGTTCCTGTTGTAACAGTTACAGCAGCTACCAGAGAGGCTGAAATAAATCCAGAAACATGTCGGCTGTGGATCGTTCCTAATGTAATGTTAGTTAGCTAACGCTGGCTAACTTCCTGCTGAATGCAACATAATAAAGTCCTGCTGTTCTGCTTTTTAACGACTGTAATAATGAACAGAGGCCGACCAGCTCGTTGTCTTTTGTCTCAATCGTCGGGGGATGCAGTGGTTCACTTGTACTGTGTGATTGGTAGGCTTTAGCTTCCATCTTTCATTTTTTTCACGTCAGACGACGTCTGAGGCAGTCTGGGTCACATCTAGGTCACGTCTGGGTCCGTTAGAGTCCGTTTGACTCAGTCTGACAGTCTGAATAAAACCTTCAAATGTTTAATGCGACTGTAAAACTGTCTGCTTCTCTCTGAGATCGCTTTTTCCAACAAATTTGTCAGTATTTCTCTGGGAGTGCAGTAATAAACAGCAGCAGCGCCGACAGTTTGTCGGACTTAGCAACAATAACTAAGGGGGCGGGGCTTAGCGAAGGGTCAGTTGGCTGCATGTCGCCAAAGACATCCGTGAAGACCCTCATAGACCTGGGAAGATGAAGACATCTCCTCGACGTTGACCCGTGAACCTACACGGGCTGGGAGTTAGTTTGAGCTGAAGACGCCCTGCAGCCACAGCTGAGGGTTGGAAGGTAAAACGACGGGCTTACTGAGACTTGGGCCTTCAGACTCGCCACGACAGCCTGGTTACACGTCCACATCCCCGTTTGGATGATCTCACTGAACAGGTTTCCCACCTGATTATCTGACTTCTCTTTAGTGATGTCACCATGTCACCAGTAGGTGTTTCTGTTATTTTGTCCACTCCCTGTCATGTACCTGCTGTCTCCAGTCTGTGTGACGTAGGACAGAAGGATCAGGAGAGGGCGTTGGCGGCGGCGTTGGCCGACAGCCTCTGGTTGGCCGGCCAGGAGGTCAGCGCCACCGTTACCTTGGTAGCCGAAGACTACTGCATCACGCCTCACCTGGACTACAAACTGGACAACTTCACAGAGAGGGTACCGGCCCGTACTGACAGCCATCACATGTTAACACGCAGGACGTCACGCAGGTTAATAACTGACCCGTCTGTCCTTCAGCTGCAGCTGTTCACATTTCAGGAGAAGGAGGACGTCAGGAGCTTCATCCTGGAGCACATCCAGCGTGTGAGTAACCTGATCAGTGCTTCTGAGGAAAGTTATCTGTCAGCACACGCAGCAGCTGATTAGTGATGCCTGTTGTTGTTGCAGTTTAAAGAGGAGGGAAGTCACGGCGTCATCCTGTTCCTGTACAGCCTCATCTGCTCCCGGACAGTCGACAGGTAACTTACGGTGACGCTGGAGCCCCCTACAGGCTGCAGAGTGAACACGTCGGACAGAGCAAATCTGTTCTAGAGACAGCTGGATTTGTGACCAATCAGTTTTCTTGGAGCTGCTGCAAACTGTTTGATCGGACTGATAATTCTTCTGTCAGACAACAGCTGTGACCCCGTGGTTAACCTATAAAACGTGGACGTTTTCTAAAGCTCAAATCTAGATTTTCAGATTTGCAAAACTAAAATTAAAAATAAGGTCCAACAAGAAAAACTGAGACGAATTCACAGACGTCTTTAACACGACGTCATGCTTCTTCCCAATCAGCTGATCACGTTAGCTCACAGTTTCAAACTAAAGTTCTGGCTGATTTATACAGTCCCCTCCAGCAGTAGTGGAACAGGAAGTCAAATTCCTCATCGTTCTAATACTTTTGGAGGAGACTGTAAAACACACACAGTTTCCAGGTAAAGAGCTAAAAGGACAAACTTTTAAAAGATAAAACATAACCTCAGCTCAGAGTTTTATGACATGAATATTTTAAACCTCTTCCTCGCAGGCTGAAGGAGGACATGGACTCGAGCACCTCCCACCTGCTGCACCTCAGTCTGGGAAACTTTGTCTGTCGTCAGGTAAGAAGCTCACCTGTTGAGGAGGAAGTCACGACGCTCCTACGGGACCCGAGTCTCCCTCACGGGTCGTCTCCCCTCCTCGGTCTCTGCAGGCTTTGCTGAACCTGATGCTGACAGGCAGGGCCAGTCCGCACGTCTTCAATGGGACTCTGTACTTTGGGGAGGACGGCCGTCCTCTGGAGCGCCCCCTGCAGGGCGTCCTGTCTCGCAGCGATGTGGGGTATCTCCACTGGAGCCGAGAGCAGATGGAGCGAGGCAGACTGCCGCAGGTGGATTCACCTTCCTTACTGCGGCTTTTTAATCAGGATCAGACGCAACATCATCAGAAATTACAGTGAAGTCGAGACGAACATCTTTACGTTACTGCAGGAGTGTGTTTAATAATGAGATAAATAATTCATTTAAATTAGAACAGCTGAGTGCAAAGAACAAATCCTAAATCAGAAAACCCTGTTGAGTCAGGTCAGAGGGTCGTTAACTGCCTCCTGCTGTTAAGGTGGAATTACTTCCAGTGTAACAATAGATTTATAGTTCAGTGTCTGATTCCACCTCCTCACATTCAGACCGTGTCATGTTTTAATTACAGAGCTTGTGTTTCCAACATGTTTCCTCTGTGAGCTCTCTACTCTAATCGCCTGAATATTAATGCTTCATTTCATTAAAGTCTTTTATTTCATTTGTGATGAATCTCTGCTCGGTAACGACGATGGGATGTAGAAACTATCAACGTGTTTTATTTTAACCAGTATGAAAATTACTTCTGGAACAATTTGGCTTTTTTCATCTCTTGTTTTTCAAACCGGAAAATCTGAATTGAACCCGCCGGGCTTTAACAGGTTTAACAGACCAGGCTTCTAATTGAGACCCGCGGTTATTGTGTGTTCCCCCACACCAGGCCAGGAAACAGGACCGGCGTCTGACCGGGTCTTAAGTTTTAAAGTAAACCCCCCCTGTTCTGTCTGCAGGTGGGCAGCATGCTGAAGACCCCCAGGTTTCCGGTCTGGCTCTGCTGCATCAACAGCAGCTTCTCGGTCGTGTTCAGCCTGACCCGCTCGCTGCTGTCTGACTGGAAGATGGAGCACCTGTTCCAGCTTCACTACTACAACGGCCAGAACTCCCAGAGAACCACGGCCCGGCTGACTGTAGGTGAGGACCAGTCGTACCGGGTCAGGGTCTCTGTCCGTGTTCACGTCTAATCCAGAATCTGTTTGCCTCCTGCTCGTCCTGCAGATACTCACTCCCACCACTGGGAGGCGTCGGCCAGGGACTCAGACGGAGACCCAGAGAGGAGGTTCCCCTCCCTGGAGATGACCATCAGGACCAAGTGGGCCGGAGCCGCTATAGACTGGAACGGCACCCTACCTTTCTACTGAAGACCTGCAGCAGCGCGAAGATCCACCAATCAGCAGGCCCCCGATCCCATCTGGACCTGGGTCGGGTCTGTGTCACTTTGAACCGGGTTCAGGTCCCAAACTTATCATTTCTGCACAAAGGACCTTCACCTGATCCAGGTTTGTTTTAGAGCTGCTGCTGAAATAACTTTAAAACTGTAATGACAAATGACAGACTCAGTTTCACCGGGTTACTCTGGACTCTGGTCCAGGTGGAACTTTATTTCACCCAAACTGTTTTTAAAGGGTTTAACTGTAAACTGTAAATCTGCTGCTTCTCAAACCGGCCATCAGGTTCTGGACCGACCCCCCAGGTGGGCTCCTCTCATACTGGCAAAAATAAACCATCAACCCTCTATATGTTCATGAGAATCCAGGTCCCCATCAGGTACGGAGACCAACCAGCTGGGCTGGGAGACCTGGAACCAGATCATGATGAAACTGGATTCTAGCAGGACTTCTCATTTCTGTTCAGATTGCATTTATTAATGAAACTAATAACACTGTTGACACAGGGAAGGGGCCCTTCGGGGGCCACACCAGGAGCCCAACCAGCTGGTGATCTGAAGAGAACGATAAGAAAAAACTGGAGCCACGTGGTCCTCATCACCTCAGTTTTTAACAGCGTCTGGTCTCAGTTTGTGGTTCCAAACCCGGGGCCCGGGGCCCGTACGGTGTCCCTGAGCGCAGCACAGACCAGTAGGACAAACGCTGCAGGACCCCGATCAGGCTGCTGAGCCCAGTACGGATCTAGACCATGCCGCTCCACTGTAAGGAGGTGTACAGCACTCCTCCGTCCGTCCCCGGCGAGCACAGCAGGACGGTCTTCTTCACGTTGGATCCCAGACGGGCCACGGCGAGGACGTCCAGCAGACAGACGGACTCGTCCAGGGACAGACAGACGGCGATGAAGTGAGCGTGGAACCGAAGAGGATCACCTGAAGGAGAGGAGAAATATTTAAATTAACAAATATTTTCAAATAATACAATGTTCCTAATAACCACAAATATCTAACTGAAGATAAAATGTCCACCCTGTCGTTGATCAACGCGTGAGCCCACCGGGCCCCTGAAGGATCATATCAGGGGTCTCCTGTTGGGAGGAGCCCTGGGTCTGTTTCTGTAGTGTTTCCACCAAAAGAACTAGACCCCGGAACCAGGAACCATTGGAGGAACTCACTGCGTTTCCACCAGAGGGACCAGGGTCTAAGTTTAGTTCTCAGGTCTTAATTTTACCCCCCAAAGGCTCCCTGGGCGGTACTTTCAGAAAGTACCGGTACTTTCGGGGGCGGGGCTTGCTTTGCAGTGAATTCTGAATGGACAGTAGAGGCTACTGGCTTAAACTGGAGAATATCGGCTGTTTTTCTACGACCGCTCGTCTCTTTTCCACCGTTGTTGGCGAACCAATAAATCACAACCAACAGCCACACGAGTCTGAGATCGTACGTCGGCATTAAATGTGTTGCTGGGAAACAGCAGCCGGCGCGCAGCGGTGTGTTTACAGCAAACAGCTGATGGAGTTGAGCTAAATACTGGGTTGTTGTTTGACGTTTTTCCACAGAGCTGAAGTCGGTCTCCTCTTCTCCAAAACAAGCGGAACAGCTGATTGCAGCAGGTAATAAAGGCGACACAGACGTGATGCTGCAGCTGATCTGCTGGAAATGTTTTAATAACCTTCCAAACTGTCACCATTTTATTTTTGTCTTGCTTTCTCTTGATGGTTTTATCCAGTTTGTTATTAAATGTGTAACAAACTTTATCGCGTGTCTCCTCATTTTACTCCCACCAAAAAAAGCTGCTTTAATGGTCAAACACAGCCTGTAGTTTTTCATTATATTCCAGTCAAATCTGATGTTCATTTATAAATGTTGCTCGTGGACAGTGGTCAGTGGCGTGCAGGCCTACAGCTGGTTAATTTGCCTGATCTTTGCAGGTCTTTGTGGGCTGAAGGAACCTTTTAGTTCCTCCAAATTCAGATGAGATGTTTGGTCGAAAAGCGGCTTACAAGAACTGATAAATCTCTCTGGCAGAGAAATCTGGGGCCCAAAATTAAATCATGAATTTGACAAATCAGACAAAAACAACAACAGAATCTAAGATCTATTCTGATAAAATCTGCTTTCAACAAATACGCACAAGGAAAATTAAGTTCAAAAGAAACATCTTTCGTCTGATCCGTTTGTGATTCGAATGATTTAACATGAACCAATATCAGCCAATAAATCATCAGAAACACTGAACTGATTCGGCTCTGCTGCTTTTTAACATTTGATCAGATGTTTTGTCCCTCACAGCCACCGTAGAGTCCCGTGGAGCAAAAAAAATAAATAATTAACTGCTTGCTTGATCTTCATTATGAGAATAGAAAAATTAAAGCTGCAAACAGCGTTGGGCGGGCCCTCGCACAGCTCTGCCAACGCCGTTCTGAATGCACGGAGGACTTCAGCGTCACTTCCTGTGTCCCCTATGTGGCGCTAGAGAGCATTCGGTAACTTTACGTTACGTCTTAGTGCGTGAAGAGGGGAACATGTTGATAAAGTTTTATTTAAAATCGCACGAGTGTCACACAGCGTTTACTTCCTGTTGGCAGCAGGTGGCGCCACCACTATAAATGAATATTGGCGTGTAGATGCGTTCGGGGCGGGACCGTTGTAAAGCACGTAAAGTTTGGTGGATTTGAGCATGTGCAGTGAAGATAGGACGACTTCCTGTTTCACGGCGAAGCGTGGGACTTTGCCGCCACGCCTGAACCTGAACCTGACGGAGCTCCAGGACGTTTGTTGTCTTTTTCTCAGCTAATCAAACATTTCCAGCCGCTGGACCACGGTGGGCATGAGGAGCCGGGATCGAACCACCGACCCCCGAGATCAGCTGACGACCTGCTCGACCTTAAAACCCTGAAACCGGGAGAGAAGCTGAGAGTCTGACAGCAGCACTGACCTGGGTACACCAGGAAGTCTCCTCCAAACTTCCCCGCCGAGGTCAGGTAGAAGCCCCGCCCCCTCAGGTCTCTGAACACCTGGTACCTGGCGTCGCAGCGTGGGTTGTCCTGCCCTCTGATTGGCCAGTCGGCCTGCAGGAAGGCCCGGGCCTCGGGACAGTAAGCCAGCCCCGCCCTCGCTGTGCTCAGCTGGACCGCCAGCGCCGAGCGAGGGAAGGTGAAGCTCCGGTCCAGGGCCTCCACACGGCACCGCAGGGCCTCGTCTGCGGTCCCAGCTCCAGACTCAGAACCTGAGAGGACCAGAACCAGAACTGTTGGATCAGGTGCAGGTCCAGCCCACAGGGTCCAACACTTGTGATGTCTAACACCTGTTCTCACCTGCGTGCGATGAGGTCATGGCTCGGACCAGCGCAGACTTCCTGTCCTCCAGAGCGAGGACGGTCTGTTCCTCGTAACTCCTCTGCTGGTCCTCCTCGTGCTGCTCCACCTGCAGACGGAGCTCCGCCCCTCCGCCATCCTGCTCACAACAACAACAACAACTCAGAAACGACATGTGGAGCAGGTAGAGCCGTCACTACTAACCAGTAAGCTACAGACCCTGACCCGGTTAGCTAAAGGAACCGACCCGGTAAGCTACAGACGCTGACCCGGTTAGCTAAAGGAACCGACCCGGTAAGCTACAGGAACTGACCCGGTAAGCTAAAGGAACCGACCCGGTAAGCTACAGACGCTGACCCGGTAAGCTACAGACCCTGACCCGGTAAGCTACAGACCCGGTAAGCTACAGACCCGGTAAGCTACAGACCCTGACCCGGTTAGCTACAGGAACTGACCCGGTTAGCTACAGACGCTGACCCGGTAAGCTACAGACGCTGACCCGGTTAGCTACAGACCCTGACCCGGTAAGCTACAGGAACTGACCCGGTAAGCTACAGACCCTGACCCGGTAAGCTACAGACGCTGACCCTGTTAGCTACAGACCCTGACCCGGTAAGCTACAGACGCTGACCCGGTAAGCTACAGACGCTGACCCGGTTAGCTACAGACCCTGACCCGGTAAGCTACAGGAACCGACCCGGTAAGCTACAGACGCTGACCCGGTTAGCTAAAGGAACCGACCCGGTAAGCTACAGACGCTGACCCGGTAAGCTACAGGAACTGACCCGGTAAGCTACAGACCCTGACCCGGTAAGCTACAGGAACTGACCCGGTAAGCTACAGGAACTGACCCGGTAAGCTACAGACCCTGACCCGGTAAGCTACAGACCCTGACCCGGTAAGCTACAGGAACTGACCCGGTAAGCTACAGACCCTGACCCGGTAAGCTACAGACCCTGACCCGGTAAGCTACAGACCCGGTAAGCTACAGACGCTGACCCGGTAAGCTACAGACGCTGACCCGGTAAGCTACAGACGCTGACCCGGTTAGCTACAGACCCTGACCCGGTTAGCTACAGGAACTGACCCGGTAAGCTACAGACCCTGACCCGGTAAGCTACAGACCCTGACCCGGTTAGCTAAAGGAACCGAGCCGGTTAGCTACAGACCCTGACCCGGTAAGCTACAGACGCTGACCCGGTAAGCTACAGACCCTGACCCGGTAAGCTACAGGAACTGACCCGGTTAGCTACAGACCCTGACCCGGTAAGCTACAGACCCTGACCCGGTAAGCTACAGACCCTGACCCGGTAAGCTACAGGAACTGACCCGGTAAGCTACAGACCCTGACCCGGTAAGCTACAGACCCTGACCCGGTAAGCTAAAGGAACCGACCCGGTAAGCTACAGACCCTGACCCGGTAAGCTACAGGAACTGACCCGGTAAGCTACAGACCCTGACCCGGTAAGCTACAGGAACTGACCCGGTTAGCTACAGACCCTGACCCGGTAAGCTACAGACCCTGACCCGGTAAGCTAAAGGAACCGACCCGGTAAGCTACAGACCCTGACCCGGTTAGCTAAAGGAACCGACCCGGTAAGCTACAGACCCTGACCCGGTAAGCTAAAGGAACCGACCCGGTAAGCTACAGACCCTGACCCGGTTAGCTAAAGGAACCGACCCGGTAAGCTACAGACCCTGACCCGGTAAGCTACAGGAACCGACCCGGTAAGCTACAGACCCTGACCCGGTTAGCTAAAGGAACCGACCCGGTAAGCTACAGACCCTGACCCGGTAAGCTACAGACCCTGACCCGGTTAGCTACAGACACTGACCCGGTTGGCGGGCGGTAGGGCGGCAGCAGCGTGGCGTTCGGCCAGCAGCCTCTCCTCCTCCGGCAGCAGCAGCAGCGGGCGGCCCAGTCGGACGTTCTGTCGGGGGGTCCGGGGCAGCGAGCCCAGCAGCGCCCCCACAAGGCCCTGAGACCTCAAGGCCCTCAGGTCCTCCACCCGCCACAGCAGGGGGGCGGAGTCACACAGACTGACCCCCACGACGTGAGACGAAGACGAGTCCTCGTCCTCTCTGCAGGCGGGCTCGTCCATCACCAGAGTCTGTGGGAGACGTGAGACCAGTTCAAAGTGAATAAAATCAAACATTTATTGAAAATGTATTAAACATTTGTTATAGAAAATTTCTTTATCGCGATAATTATCATGTTTTATTGTCCTGCCCCTCACCAGCATTTCCACACCAACCACATTTTTAAATGTGGTGATTTTATGTGCGTTTCTGTTGTCGACAGTGAGCGAGCAGGAAACGGGACGCAGCTTCCTGTCAGACTGCAGCAAAATCTAGAAAAAGTTTCTAAAGACACAGTGATGTGAGCCCAGCATCACAAACACACACAGATTTATTAAAGGGATGGATAGAGTGGGCTCAGCTCAATGTCTATTTGCTGACACATAAAATAATATTTTACAGGTTTTTTTGTATCTTGGACTCAGGGTAACAAAGTAAAATAAATAGCTACAGATGAGAAATTATTTTGCCCCCCCCCCCATGGTGTGAAATCACTTTAATATGTACAAATTACAGATAAAATAATCTCCAAGACAGCTGGTTAAAAGCAGGATTACAACAGATCTGTGTTGTAGAAATAAACCTGCCTGATGTTATTAACTTCCCTATAATTTATTTCTCAGACTTTTAAACAGTGAAGCTGCTGGAGCTTCATCAGCACAAAGTCTGAAGTAACTCTGATAGTGAAGCTGCTGGTCGGCTGACGAGTCTGTCCAGAGTCTAAATATCATCTAACTTACAAACCATCAACCATGAAGGGGCGCAGCGACCAAACTTCTCTTCAGGCTCCCCTTAATGTAAATATACATAAAAATTTAACACAATTAAAAAAAATTACAGCTGATTTTAAATGACAACAAAATGAGATCAACTCAGGTCAGAATGGCTTTGATCAAATAATTAAAAAAACTGTGATGAAACAGAGGAAGTGTTTAGTTCAGTGAGACGAGCGGCAGCCAGAAGAAATGTTGAGGAAACAAACTGACATTTTGTGTTAGAATTACTGGGGGGGGGTCTGACCACATGTTACCTTACTGTGCGATTCTGCAGAGGACTCGTGCAACAGGTGTTGCGCTGAATTCTGCCTCCCTGCCGACGGCTAAGGCTCATTTATGCTGAGAAAAGAGGTGGATGCAAATCTCGGCAGGTAGCCTCCAAAATTTAATCTGCCGAATTATGCGTCCACCTCTTTAGGTCCTTTCCAGACACTTTGCTGTGCGGCGTTACCACCGCATATATTTACTGAATGTCAAAGAACGGTGCTTCTGCTAAGTGTATTGAAATGTTTAAGACTTTAAAAGTTCATAAAATATATACTTCGGTTCACTTCTCACCATTTATGGACCCCACAAAGAATATTACAGCGTTTAAAAGCGGTATTTGGAGGTGCACGCAAAACTCGGCATAACACCGGACACCTGAACGCACCACGCAGTCAGCACCGAGCCGTTTCACGTGAAGAAGCAGCAGCTCGCTGTTGTCTCACCTGCTCCGGTTACCGGTCCTCAGCACTCAGGGGTCCCTCTGTCTCCATCAGGAACCGGTGAGCTCAGCCAACGTTCACGGACAGTTACCTTCACGTCACGCTGCCGCTGTCTGTGGACGCACGTGTTTCCGGTCACACTCTGCCGTAAACGGATCCGTCTGTAGTTTTTTTTTTTACTTCTCTGATTTAAACTACATCTACACACCGCGGACAGACGCGTTAGCGGGCGGAGAGACTTCAGCACCGAGCGCACCCGCCGCCACCGGGGCCGTTTGATGCGCACACCGTCACTTCGCAGCGGGGCGGGGCTTTCCGGATCACAGTGACGTCACGTCCGGGTTGAGGTTTGATTCACAGATGTTTTTTTTTATGGTTTAAAGGTGAAAAACAAAATGAATCCTTTCAATGATTTAAATTCTGTGTGATTACACTGATTATATATTTATGATTTATTATTATTCTAGAAGCTTCTGGGAAACATTTCAGCTTTGATGTCGAACAGGAGGAGCTGAATAAATGTTCAGCCTGAGCAGCCGATTCTCAGCTGGAGGTTTAATAACGCCACACCACTTTTTAATCTGCACCAATGAATCAATTCATTTTAAGAACATTACACCGTTTGAAAACGTTTCTGTCGTGCTGATTTTAAGTTATAAAAACCTGCACGTCTTAATCTGAAAGTTTAAAGGCAACGCGTATAAAAAAAAAACTAAATACTGCTTCATCTCACGGTTTGACATAATTCCACTTTTATTATCAGTTAATCTGTTGATCAAGTGAAAAGCATCTCCAGTTTCAGGAGCTCAAAGTTCCCAGTTTACTATTTAAAACAGAAAACCAGCAGATATTTGTTATTTTCTTCGATCAACACTGATTTTCATTTTCTTACTGAGCATTAAAGATCATTCTTTACTCCAGGTCCACTTTTTAGGGCCCAACACTTATGTTATCATACCGCTATGAACTGTGGGAAATTCCCTCAGCTAAAGTCTGCAGAAATGCGGACTTACGAAAACGGTCTACAGAGGGCTCAAAATGTCCGCGAGAGCGCCCTCGCCCACCTGACGATTTGACAGAAGGACGGCCCTCACGGACTTCCCGGGAACACGCCTCAAAGGCTGTGAGTCTGTGAGGGTGGACGTTGCGATTGGGCCTAGCTTTCAACTGCATCTCCTGGTCTTCATCATCGAGTGGAGTTTGCTCATCATCATCACTCTGAACATTTGCTGATGAAGGCCTTAAAATGTGGCTGAAAGCTCCAGATGAAGCCGGTAAGTGGACCTTTAGTTAACTACTGTTTGCTCAAATGTTTCTCATGTTGGGCTTGTGTGCATGAAGATAATATTAAACCACAGCAGCTTCCTGTGTTGTCCCACAGAGGCAGAGGTTCATGAACGCCACGTGAAAATCCCTCTGGACCACAAACCGACTCAGACACAGACTTTAATTATTCTGTCCTCCCGAAATAGTGAACAGTGGAGACGAGCTTTTATTCTGAAAGGATCACTGTCTTCAGCATCTGTACAGATGTTGTTGCATAGCAACAGGGCTCAATGGACCACGGGAACGCTGTCATTTCATGTTGTTGGTAAACAAACAGTTTGTCCTACATTTCCCAGAGTGCTTTTGGACAGCCATCAGCAACAGGCAGGCGAATGAGAACCTAACCAGCTAATTCAATCGGTTCATGACTGTGAGGCGTGAACACATGGCCCCACCCCCTCATCCTAAACCCCGCCCCCTCCTCACCTGTCCTGCCAGGTGATGAAAACTGAGGAACCCCAAAATATTAAAGCAGGAAAACACAGAAACAGACGCAGCGTCTGCTGAAGTGCAACACAAATGTCCGCAGCGTCTCTAAAACACACGCTCCTCTCTCTGCGGCGTGGACAGGAGGCGTGGCCTGCTGCTCCTGCGGCGCCTCCTACTGTCCGACCTGCAGCTGCTCCAGCTCCTTCAGCAGCTGATCCTCCTTCTGGACCTTCTCCAGCTGAGAAACACAAACACGCCTCGTTAGGTCAGAGTTCAAACGCCGGCCGGATCCATTTTATTTAGTCTCAATCATCAATAATGCAATGCTCTGTATTCGTATGACAGTATTATCGTAGTATTTTGTATACTTGTCCATTTTTGATCTCTTTACTTTTTTCCTCGCATGTGAAAATGATATAAAAGCGGATATTTGTTGTTAAGCGTCAGAACGTTTCAGAAAAGCTGCTGCAGAGCTCGCAGGAAGACAGTCACCTGGTTCTTCTGCAGGACTCTGCCCGCCGCCTGCTGCTCCTTCAGCTCCTCGATGGCTTTAAGTTTCTGAAAGACACAAACGCATCGCTGGAAACACCGACCAATCGCAGCACAGAACACCTGATGTCTGATCCAAATGTTTACAGGCTCTTCACCTTCTTTAAGTTCTTTATCTTCTTGTCAGTCTCAGGGTCGCCGCTGGTCGGCTCTGATTGGCTGTTGCTGAGGGGGGCGGGGTCAGACGGAGGTTCAGGTTCAGGCTTTGCGTCCTGCAGAATAAAAAACAGAATATAATAAGTCTTTTCATACAGACAATGAATCAAACAGACATCGTGTAAACAAAGAACAACATGGGTAAAATCCAGCCGTCTGATTGGTTAACGAGCTCACAGGATCACCTGTTTAGCAGCTTTCTTGGCTTCTCGTTTCTTCTGGTTCTTCAGAGCCGATTTAGAGAGACTCTTCTCCCCCGAAGCTCCAGGGCGCAGGTTCTGAGGAGGCTCCTCCTCGTGCTGCGAGACAGAGACGTGGTGAGAGATCATGTGACACGGCGAGGTCACACCCCCTGCAGGTACTATGGTTATCACGGTGAGACCTGCTGTTAGTGGAACACGCAGCAGAGTTGACTCTGTGGACGGATGTCTCTAAGTGAAATGCATCTTGGGAGTCTGTGTGATGAACTGTTTGCTCACCAGTTTGGAGCTGGGCGTGGCCGGCAGGTGTCTCAGTGCAGGTGGGCGGTACGCCTGCGTGGGCGGGGCCTGCGTGGATCCCAGCCCGCTGGGGGCCGCCTGGTACTTTACGGCCCGCTCAGGGAAGCTGCCGTCGGGGAACGGCTGCCAGCGGACCTCCCACAGCTCCTTCCCGGCGGCCACGTCCCATTTGTGCAGCACGGAGCCGGTGTAGTGCCAGATCTTATAACCGTTACTGACCCGCAGCCGCGGAGAACACGTCGCCGTGACGACGTGTTCTCCGTCAGGACACCAGGAGAAATGTGTGGCGTCTGGAGCCTGAGGTTTGGACACCTGGGTGGACGAGAGGTTAGAGGACAGACAATTAAAAACAGTCCTGACGTGATGCATTAATCAGCAGCTCATTATTGTTTTTAGCTGAAGTTACTTTTTTTGGACAACAGAGGTTTCTTCTATATTTATACTGGATTCAGGTTTAAGCATTTTTATTTGTTAAATCAAATCAATTTTTCAGAACATTTTTAACAAATGCTTTCAAAAAAGTGGTGGCTCCACGTCCCCAGCGTCCTCCCTGCTCCCTCCCTACAGGCGGAGCTCCTCCATGCTCACCGCCTCACCTGCTCTCGCTTGGCCCTCTGCTCCGCTGTCTCACGCCGGACTGTCAACCAGGACGCCGTGTGCACACAAACTCGACACTGACGTCCATAACGTCGTTACTTTAACCCAAACCATGACCTTCTTCTAAACCTCACCAAGGTGTTTCACAACGTTAACAAGTAGCTTTATTTTGAAAGTCTACCTGAACGTTGCACATTTATTCTTGCCGAGTCGACCTCGGAGCCCTACATGTTGAAAAACGAGTGTCAGGGGGTCTTGACTAAGCCGAGCAGGGCCCCAACCCCCCCTAGGCTAAACAGCTCACAGAAAACTGCTCACAACAATTCACCATGGCAACGGGTAAATAAAGGCAGAGCCTCCATTTTAATCGGGTGGAGCTAGAAATATGAACGCTGCCAAGGCGGACTATGATTGGCTCTAAAACGCAGGAGTGGAGGATCGATACGTTAACAATATTACAATATTACATTTTATACAACGTTGCTCCTTCATCATTTGCCAGACTGGAATTTCCTAAATGAATGATAAAGAGCTGGATTCTCCTGCAGCCTGTTATTCATTTCAAACAGCTCCAGGCCTGTTTATTCAGCCGGAACCTGACGGGACTAAACGCCGGTGGCAATAACTGAGGATGAAAATATTAATGGAACAGATTAGACACAGTTTAGACTAATGAAATGAGAATGAAAAAATTAGTTTCAGCTGCACCGCAGTCATCCTCACTCAGAAATCTTCACATCATATCCAGCTGATATCTACGACAGGAATGTTCAACCTGTGCTGAAGATGAAAGGTCACTGTTCATTGATCAGTTTTGTAGCTCACGGTAAGTGTTTTGTTTTGCCTTCGTGTCCACAGAGTCACTGTGTTATAAAGAAGGACAGTGTAGCTTATAGATTTGATTCTGTGCCGAGGATAAATTTACGATGTCCAGAGATAACTCTCTGTCCTCACATCCATGACATCATAAAAGCGTCATGTTCAAGATCATGTTTGGGTAAAAAAAAACTATTTAACCGTAATTTAAAAGACGTAACTGCGTTCAAACACGTGCTTTGATTTGGACAGTCTGAATGAGGAAATGTCGGACGGCCACTTCAGGCTCCGCAGGAGGGGAGGAGTCAGAGAGAAACTCAGCGTCCTCCTCCAGAGCAGGTCAGGTTCACAGCGTTCACTAAACCCTCTTTCTGAAACAGGCCTCTGTTCCGTGTTGCTGCCGTTCTTCCTCACCTGTTTGTATTTCTTCACGTCCCAGACCTCCATCTGACCCCGCAGGTTCCCGAAGCCGGCCAGGACCAGGATGTGACCCTGAGGACTGAAAACAGGAAGGACGATACGGTCAGGGTCTCTACCCAAAAAACAACAACTCTGATTCGCCACGAGCTCCTGAAGAAGCTCAGTGGACCTGCTGAGAGCTGAACGGAGGACACAGGAAGGACCGGGACCCTGACTGACGCACTGACCTGCCAGGAACTTGTAGACAGACGGGTGTGATCTCACCTGTAGTAGGCGGCGTTTCGCGGTCCAGTTCCGAAGTCGAACACCGGGTCACATTTGAGGTTGAAGACGGTGGCTTTGGCCGGCATGAAGCCGTACACCACGCAGAACTCTGCGGAGTTGGGACTCCAGGCGACGTCGTAGATCGGACCGTTCTTCGCTGTTTAAACACGGAGAGAAGGAGCTCGGTTAGCCTGCGAGACGCTTCCTGCTGCAAAGACCAGGTCCTGCTCGGGTTCCAGGACAGTCCGGTTTTCTGTGATTAACGAGTAACTGACAGCACCAGCTGAGTCCGCAGCTACACGATCAAATCATCTTCTCTCCGCTGGCTTCGGCCTTCTCTTCGTACAGAGCGAGGACTCTGCGTTGACATGTTTACATCACGTCAGGTGAAACTACCTGCAACAAATGTATCATAGCAACCAAAGCAGGCGGACAAAACGCCCGCTAGCGCCCCCTGCTGAATCCTACTCTGACAAACTTCATGCAGGCAGTGAAATACTGCAGTACTTTCACATCCATCCAGTGAAACTACCATGAAACACACAGGACTAGTACTGATATTGAATAAGGAGTACTCACGCAGCTGAACCAGAGCCGTCTCCCCGTTAACAGCGAGGTAATGCAGCGTCTGCTCCCCGTAATATGACGCTCCAGTCTTATCCACCTCGGTGCTCGCCGTCACCAGGACCGCCGAGGCTGGGGGGGGAGGGAGACAGGAAGTGATTTGTTTCAGTCAAACTGGGAACCATTAAAGAGGGACCATCGTGCTCTACGTGTTCAGTCTGGGACTCTAGAGTCGTCCTCCTTCTGCAGAGGAGGTTTTCAGATCTCGCTGCACAGCTAAGTCCTGCTAACGGCATCTGTCGCACGTATAACGTCGATGTTCAGAAACACAAACACCACACAGAGAACCAGAGGAAGTCCTGGTCTCCCACCTCTCTTGTTCCACTGCATGCTGACTCTGTCGGCCTTGAAGAAGCTCTTGTTGGCGAGCGCGGCGGTGGGTCCTCCCAGCACCGGGTACTGATACAGACGGACAAACGAGGGCGCTCCTTTACTCCCCGGGACGTAGACGGCTACCTGGAGGGGACAGACAAAACTGATGGGACCAGGATCAGGTTTAAACCGCCTCCTGTCCCTGCAGTTTGAGGGCGGCGGTTCCTCACCTTGCTGGGCTGACCTCCGGGCGACAGCACGAAGTCCGACACCTTCTGCATGTGAAGCTTGTTGGCGATTGTGTCTGGAGAGAGAAACACAGTCTGCAGTCAAGATCCCTGTTCCCTTTCACCCCTCATCGACCCGAAGACCTTCACCCGGTCCTCCTTATTTAAAGACCGCAGATCTGGGTCTGGGTTCAGGTCTGACGAAGGCTTCAGACTCCACCCGCTGCTGGTTTACTGTGTGCTCGAGTCTTACTGAAGTCGTTGTTCTCGTAGAAGTGCAGCTCGTTGTTGACGCTCCTCACGGAGATCTTCTCGTCTTCAGACCAGCTGGGACACCTGCAGCCAATCAAAGAGCACGTTAAAACCCTGCGGCCAATCACAGAGAGGCAGCAGCACAGATCTGAACTGTGAGACTCACCAGGACTCCACCTTCTTCTGGTACAGAGCTTTGATCAGCTGACCGCTCTGCAGGTCCCACAGCTGGAGGTTCGGGTCCCCCTGAGGACTGTCCTGGCTCTCTGAGCACACAGAAACCAGACGTTAGTCCGACAAGCACGGATCCTGATCCGCAAGGACAAATCTGACAGTGTTCACGATGAGAGTAGCTGATTGTGCTAAGCTAAGTGACGCAGCGTGGAGCGGCTCAGGTGTTAGCACGCTAACGCTAGCTGTGGCTCGGTTAGCTAACGGCTGATCTCTACGTCTGACGTCTCCCTGTCTCCTCCAATCCGTGCGTCTCTTACTGCTGTACGGCTGCCAGGTGGCCAGGACGCTGTGGCGGGGAGAGAAGTCCAGCAGGGACGTCTTCGGGAGGTCAAAGGTCGACACCACGGAGCCATCGGAGGACTTCACCACAGAGACACTGAGAGAGAGAGAGAGAGATATTTCCCAAACATACCCCAGATTTTAATTTCAGATTTCTTTACAGGATGTGTCTCCTCGTGCCGCCAGCTGAGGACGAGCAGACCGCACTGATTATATATTAAATAATGTTTGAATTATTATTATTTTAGTAATTGATCCTTTGTTTTTTAAATCACATTTGATTCTGATTTTTAGTTGTTTTTCACGTTTACTGAATTAATTATTTATTTTAATATATTTTTGTTTTTTTAACATACACTTAGTTTTATTTATTTAATTTTATTTTTAATATTTAATATATATTTTATTATTTTATTTTTTAACACACTTACTGTTTTATTTATTTTAAATATTTATTTTCATATTTTATATTTTTTAATTTTATTTTTAACGCACTTTTACTGTTTTATTTATTTTATATTTAATATATTTTTATTATTTTATTTTTAACACACACTTTTACTGCTTTATTTACTTATTTAATGAACTGTATGAAATTAATTGTTCTTTTGTAATTTATGTATGGATGTCGCACTGCAGAGGCCTGAAATGGAGCCTGGTGTTGTCACCCACAGAAGAGGGACCACAGCAGCAGCTGGACCTCCTGGAACAGTAATGCCAGAACTGGGCACTGCCAGGAAACCCAAAATATTAAAATCATGATTTTTTATTTATTTATTTCGTGGCCATTGTAGTTCTTTCAGATTTGTCTGAGGTCTTTGACACTATTTTAACGGATTGGCTTAAAAAAATTAGTTTGTTCTTAGTTATCGTGCTCACTAAGGTTGGCTTTATGATGCCTTGGAATTGTTTTGTTTTTACTGATCAGCTGTCGGCTCTGTCAACGCTTCTTTCACCTCTGTAAGCAACGCCTTCGTCTGTTCTGTCGTGCCCCCGTCGGGCCTCTGTGACGCACTCTGTGAACCTGGAGTTGGTGCTACATAAATAAAATTGAAATCGACTGGATTGAGACGCTGCATGCAGAAAGTCTCCTACAGGAGTGTGTAGGGCAGAATTAGGGAGGTGTGCACTGATATTAGAGCCCAAAAAAAGAGGACTAAACTTTCTGATGCAGCTCATTTCAAGTCCCCAAAACCCTCCAGAGAGTCCGTTACGCCAGCTGGTCCTGAGACGAACAGATCCTGAAGCCAGCGCTGCTCTCCAGACACCAGTGAGAGGAAACCAGATGGTCACTCAGAGCTGAAATACTTATTCAGAACAAAAACCAACACAGTCTCAGGAGGAGGACAGACGGCAGGAACGTGTCCCTGCGTCCCAACCTGAGGGACAGCGAGGGACAAATGTGTTCGCTGCATGGCGGGTTCCACATGGTTACTTCCTGTTTACGTTGTGTTGCATTAATTCATGTTCTTGTTACGTCCTATTAGAATGTAAACTTTGTGATTTTGGCAACGCGGTTTAACTGAAACATTTATGAGAGAATTTAAGTGACAGGGCCGTGACGGACGGTTTCTGAAAGACTTCATGAGCAGGGAGGTCAGGGTCCTGGACTCTGTCCTCCAGGACCTTTGGGGGGGCCGAGCGACAGAAACCTGCCGGTCCAGGTGATATCAGGATTAAAGTGGATCATTACCTGAGTCCGTTGCACCATGCGAACAGCGTCCCGTCTCTGCTGAAGGTCACACACCTGCTGGGCCGAGAGTCCCTGAAACACAGGAAACACACCTGTCAGTCTGTCCTCTGCTTCACACAGGTGAACACGCACAGGTGGCGGCCGCAGGTGTGTTTACCTCTGGAAGGCAGAGTGCTGCTCACACGTGGGAGGCCCGCCGAGCAGAGACGTGCCATCTGATCCACGCACTGATCCACAGGGCCAGAACCAGAACAGATGTTACCACAAAGCGTCAGTCACACTGACTTCAGTCATGTTTTAACTGTTTTAACAACAGATTATTATCCATCTTATTCATTATTTGTTTCAGTCTTTCACTTAATAAATAAAGTGTTAGATATGAGAAAGTGGAGGAGGTGGAAGCTGTTATTGTTTCCACACTGATTGAATCAATGATAATGTGTGATTGATTAACTACTGTGAGATAAACTACAGTTCGTTTTATCTATTAATTACAAGCATCCGTGTTTACCATCTGAGGAACATGTCACATGAAATTATACTGGAGAGACATTTCCTGTACTAAGAAGTGTGCCTCTTTAATTCGGCATACATGTAATCGCTCAAACAGCCAGAACTCCGGTGGCTTTGAACTGTTTTTATCCAGCTCATCACTTCTTCGTCCCGTCTGTCCCGAGAGAGCGGGGCAGCGCGGTCACGTTTCACGCCATCTTTTGTCTAATCAGATTGTTTCTTGTGACTTTTATTTATGCCGAATTATTCAGAAGACTCTACTGATTTCAAAGAAGTCTGAAATTCTCTTTTAAAACGTAAACGTATTTACCGAAAACAAATAAAAGCCAGATTTTACACAGAGTTCGGCGCGTTATTTATTCTACCTAGAAGAACGGAAGCTCGTGAGGCTCGCTGGCGTTACGCTGCCTGATTTTGACTTTCGGCCGGAAGCCGCGGCTGTTCGCGAACATGTCGATGTAAACATTTAAAAAAGAAAACAACATATTTTAGTGAAAACTGAAATAACCCACCTGCTAACAGTGGGATGGGGGGCGCCATGTTTACGTGTGCCGGAAAAGAAAAGCTTTGTGCCGGAAGTACGTAACGGCAGAAGGAGGCGGGTCCTTCAGTGCCACATCAGCATACAATCGGCTCTGTTTATGAACACGTCTCCTAAAATATAAAGTCAGGCGTTTAATTAAAATCTCTGAGATAAACTGTGACATTTTTATTGTTAGCACGACGCGTTGTTTTCAATAAAAACTAAAAAGATTGTTTTATAAATGTTTAAAGTCGGTGTTGCGCTCAAGAGCTGCGTCAAGCTGTCGTAGAGCAACTGAAGGGGAGGTAACTTCCGTTTCCAAAGTAAAAGCGCGGTGTTTTATGTGTATACGGAACATTAGCCATCAAAATACTATTTAAAATATTAAATGGAGAATTAAAATGTACTTTTGTTATAAATACCACAAAGACTGACTGGCAGCAAAAAGTGTTAAGCTGGAAAAAGATACTTGTGAAAAAAGCTTCACTATTAATATAAAAACAAATTAATTAAAATTTATTTATAAATCTTATTTCTTGAAAATGGACAAAAATTTTTACATGAGCACTGTAGTATATTTTTGAGTATCTGTACTTTACTTGAGTAGGCCTATGAATATTTTACATTTGCACTTCTGACTCCTGGTTCCTGTTGCTCAATATTTAAATATCTTAAGTCCACATTGGAGCTTATTGTCTGTAAACATTTCTTTATTTCCAGATAAATATTTTAAAGAAAGGCGTCTGTGCTTTTTATGGATTTGACCGCCAATCAGTTCCTATAATTTGCGCTCTGGTAACTTGTATTTGTTATCTGTACCTACGGTCCCTACAGAGCTCGATAAGAAGGTTGCATTTGCCAAATCTGATTTCTTTTGGTGAATTTAAACACCACATGAAAGATTTGGAAATAGATGCCATAAATTGTTGTCACTGCTTTTAAAATATAATAAAATAATATAATCCTTTAAACCTACGGTATGTATAAATTGTACTTTTAAGTAGTCTAATGTTGTTTATGTATCTTAAAGGTCTTGTTAAATGTTCCTTGTTGTGCGTGTGCTTGGTGTTCATATTTGTAACTGTGCATTGTTAATATGCTGCCATTTTGGCCAGGTCTCTATTGAAAAAGAGGTTTTAAATCTCAATGAGATCATCTGGTTAAATAAAGGTTAAATAAAATTTTTAAAAATATACTCACCGAAGATATTGTATTTTCTATTTTCTTTCTCTTTTTCTCATCACTGTTTTAATGTTTTAACCTTTTATTTATTTAAAAGCCCTTCTAGGGACGGGTGTTGCACATTAGCTACTGCTAAAAACACTATGGTGCACACGGTGGATTGCTGTTTTCAGTTTATCTATGTTAGACGTCTCTGTCCCTAACAAAATCAACATAATAAAATAAATAAGTAAAAATGTAATACAAGTGAAACACTTGCATTGGAGCCATATTTGACCAGGAGTATATTTGAGTACTGGAGTTGTGTACTTTGTCATCACGTGTTTTAAATACCTTTCTTTCTTTAAGACACTTTCTTATTTTTTACTGGTAATAAAGAAGGAACACCTCTGATATTTATAAATACTGTATGAATTTTAATATATTAATGTGGACTAACTGTGTAATATATTTTAGAGTGAGAGGGGAACAAGTACGGAGGATTTAATTTTGAAAGAGCGCGCCGGAAGTTGTGCTTTGCCACGCAGTGACTCTGTGCGTGTGTTGCGGGAGCGCGGGGGCGGGGCTTCAGCTTTTTGATACGTCGACAAGAGAGAGGAGCTCCCAGTCGGTCCGCCACCGGAGGAAACAACAGCGGGAGGAGAAGAAGAAGAAAGAAAGAAAAGCCTGATAAACAAACCGCAGCTGAATAAAAACGCCAACAAGAAGAAGACAAGATGGTGGCGAAGCAGAGGATCCGGATGGCGAACGAGAAGCACAGCAAGAACATCACGCAGCGAGGAAACGTGGCCAAGTCAACGGTGAGTTTAACAACAGCACCGCCGCCTCGGGTTCCGAGGAAGAACCGGGCGGAAACGGGTCAAAACCAGCACCGGGGACACGATGTGGACCCGGGTTCGAACCCCGGTCTGTTCTGAGGAGGTTTCCCCAGTTCTGAACCCGGTGAAGCCTGAAGAACCGGTCCGGTTTCAGGGTCCACCGTGGCGCCGTCTGGTGAAATCAGGAAGTTCACTTTCATCAGTTCCATCCTGATATTTACTTTTTAGTCTTTTTAAACTGGGTAAGATTTGGATCGCATGTGGACCAAAGCAGCTGCTGATCAGTTTCAGTCATGATGATTCAAAGTATCGGTGCGTAAATGATCAGGAAACGGTCACAGTGTTTTGATTGGTCCAAAAAAACTCCAGATTACTGATAGATAAAACAGCAAAAATCACATTCTGCTGCTGATATAATAAAATATCTTCCAGTCACATCAAATTTCAGACTGATTGGCTGTTAAACTGTAATATTTGGATCAAACAGAGTCAACATATGGATCAATGCAGGCCTCGTTTTCATTAGGTGTTGACTTCAAGTATAATGATCAGTCAGATTGTGCTGATTGGTTCACAAGATCTCCGGTTTACTGAGAGAAAACACCGAAAAAACTGCAAAAAAATTCACCTTCTGTTGCTATTTAAATATCTTCCTGTCATTTCATCTCCAGATCGGTCAGATCAGTTTCACTTGGTTCAGATGATCATCAACGATCAGATACGCTCATATATTATATTAATATATTTTTATATTTGAGTAATGATGATTTAAAATCTGTGTTTCAGAGGAACATGGTGGAGGATAAAGGTGTGGGTCCCTGGCTGCTCGCCCTCTTCGTCTTCGTCGTCTGTGGATCAGGTGGGTCATCATCTTCTTCTTTTAACGAACACACACCAACCCTAAAACCCACTTCCTGTTTGTTAACAACATTAAAGCAGTTCAGAGGAACCTGCAGTGAATTCAGACTCTTCATGTTTTATTCGTCTCTCTGATTTCAGAGAAATTAATGTTTAATTTGAAATTAATTATTTTACTTTAATTTTAAAATTTTTTCCACCAAATAAACAAAAAACGTTCTCTGATTTCTCGTCCGCAGACTCAAAGGAATCCGTGTTTTGAAAAAATTAAAGTTTATTATAATACGATTTTATATTTTATATTTTTTAAATCTAATGTAACTTTAGTTCTGCCTGAAAAACCACACAGGGGGGACGCTGTGATTAACGAGCGCCTTTAAACGTTACGTCACCCGCTGTGAATATAGCCCCGCCCCTTGCTGATGTCAGCGGAGGGAGGAAACAGGACGCCACTCAGGAGCCCGCCGCCGTTATCTCAAGGTTTACGTTAAGTAACGTTCTGCAGGTGACGTACTTCAACCTGAACCACGGCGTCTTCCTAAACCCTCCACGTTACCCAGGCGGCGTGGCGGCATCACGGGACACCTGGTCATTTAGAAGCGTCTCTTTCAGCGGGTAAGAGGCGATAGCGCTTCCTTTCACGATCGCCCGGTGGAAGGACCGAATACGGCGGGTCCGTCTCTCTTCAGAGCACGCCCTAAGAAATCATTCCCACGACCGTCCCTCACTGCTCGCATCTGATTGGCCGAGGATCATCACGTGAGATGACTCTGGGCGCTAAAGCGGCGCCGTATAGGCCAAAAATACTGCGGCGGGCTGCGAAGCTCCACCTTTAAACACAGACGGCGTCAGATAGCCGTCATACCGGTGAAAGGTGTGCAGAAGCAGACGCCGCCCACGACTGTTTTACGTCACGTGACTTAACGTTACGTACTTTAGGGACGGGTCGCATGTTGAACGTTTGGAGTCGACCCATCGCGTGGTTCAGGTGAGAACAAGGTGTCAGCTGACCTGGAGTTTGTGCGTTCGTTTTAAAAGCGGCGTGTTCGGCGACGCAGGCGGAGTTTCGTGGTCAGTATTTTCCCAGAGGAGCGCTCGGTGATATGAGGAGTAACGCCAGGACAGAGTCAGGGAGGCGTGTCTGCTGCTGAACATTAACCACGAAGACCCCCGAACCTGATCAGCTGATCAGCCGGCCCCGCCTCAGGGTTCAGCGCCGGTCAGAGTTCGTTAAACCTGCTTCCTGGAACGCAGCCAGGTGCGTCTGACCTGACCAGTCAGTGATCAGAGGGCAGAGCTGAACTGATCAATCAGATCTGAGATCAGCTGGAACATTCATCAGTCATTTACTGTCGCACTGCAGTAACAGTATCACAGTAATATGCAGTAAAAGTACACAGATGTAGTACCAGGTGTGTAACGGCGTCTCCTTCCTGTGTTTGCAGCCATCTTCCAGATCATCCAGAGCATCCGGATGGGCATGTAGTGATGTCACCTGCAGAGGGCGGGGCTTCGACAGCAGCCGCCATGTTCCCGCCTGGACCGCCGAAACATTCCTGAACTCTGCCCCTCCCCCTCTCCCGCCCTCCCCCTCCCCCACGCCGACCTTCCCACAGTGTTCCTGTAAACAAGCCATACATGTGCCTTTCTCTGTTTACCTGCTCTTTGGCCCCGCCCCCTCTGATTACACCTTATCAGTACAAGCGGGGGGGGCCGGCGGGGGGAGGGGGGGGTTATAGTCCAACCTGCTCCTGTAAACTGAACCAGACTCTGTTTAATTCCAGACCAGAACCCGGTGTGAGGTTTCTACTTTTCTAATTTTCCACATTCCAGCTGAGTTTGATCTGATGTCTCTCCCTCTCCTCCTCCTCCTCCTCCTCCTCCTCCTCCTCCTCCTCCTCCTCCTCCTCCTCCTCCTCCTCCTCCTCCTCCTCCTCCTCCTCAGTGGAAATGAGATGAAGGTCTTTTGAATCAGAAGGTTTGGAGGTGCTGACAGGTGTGTCTGCACTGTGTGCAACAACACCTGAACAATCTTGCTCACTTAATAAAGTTTCATTTTGAAGACGGACGCTGTGTTTGTGTTTCGTGTGTGGAGAGAAACATTTTTCATAAAGGTCCCAGGACTGGTCTTAGACTGTAGACTGGTTCTGGACTGTGGACTGGTTCTGGACTGTAGACTGGTCTTAGACTGGTTCTGGACTGTAGACTGGTCTTAGACTGTAGACTGGTCTTAGACTGTAGACTGGTCTTAGACTGGTTCTGGACTGTAGACTGGTCTTAGACTGTAGACTGGTCTTAGACTGTAGACTGGTTCTGGACTGTAGACTGGTCTTAGACTGTAGACTGGTCTTAGACTGGTTCTGGACTGTAGACTGGTCTTAGACTGTAGACTGGTTCTGGACTGTAGACTGGTCTTAGACTGGTTGCTGCCAGTAAATTGTTTGAATCAGATTTTTAAATTTCACCAAACTCCCTTTTTATAATCAGTCATTTTATTGTTGCCTTGTTGAGTGAAGATTTGCGTGTCTGTTCTCTGGAAATGTTCCAGTTTGTTGTTTTGAGTTGTTTCCCCCGGCAGCCCTCCAGGAACCAGGACATGTTTAATTCACACCAATGTAGGATCTTAACTGATTTTCCGCAGGAGCTTTAGATTCACGTGATCTGGTAGAAAAGTGACGACGAACCCTCACCGTGCTCAGCAACTACTGCTGCAGTTGCTCTGCTGCTCCACAAGATGGCGCTGTGTGGGCAGAAACTGAGCAGAGGCTGACTGTGTGGGTGAAGGTCCGTGAGCAGAGTGTATCCCACAATTCAGCTCTGCCTCACCTCACCTGGACAGGTGTTGGCGGTGAACACCTGAGCGTCCCTGCCTGTACACCAAACTCCATCAAAGAATCTGACCGTTTTAAAGTAAAAGTCTTTCACTTTATTTTAGTAAGTTTTTAAATGTTTTCTGTGTTTATATTATGTATATTCGTTCCGCTACGACCCGAAACTGTTCCACAAGAGCTTTGTTTGACTAAAATGATGTAAATAAGCTATAAAGGGGTTTTAGGTTTGATTTGACCCCAGAGTGGTTATGGTGTCGAACCCCCTGTGACCTTTTTGACCCTGGATCAACGTTTCCAGTAGTTTCTCTCCGGCGCTCTGGTTCTGGTTGAACCCCTTGGTGCAGAAGTTTAAATCCAGGCCTGAGACGCCCACCCCCCGGTGATCACCACGCTGCAGTTCATACTGTATGTCCTTCTTCAAAGAACCCACAACGCCAGTCACATGGTCCAGTTTACCAGGTCCTGCAGCAGCAGAACCCCCCCACATCATGACTGACCAACGAGTCCCAGCAGGTCCGGTTTAGTCTTCCAGAACTCTGCAGGCGTGTTTTCTTGCATATTCAAGACCTCTATGTGCTGGTTGGTCCGAACAGAGTGCGGCGAGGACCGTCTATAGGGATGCGGACTCTGGCCTCATCAGGTCCTGCTGCAGGTCTCCGGACATCAAGTCTTGGGTTGTTCGGTTCTTCTGATGGTCTGTAGGGATGCGGACTCCGGCCTCACCAGGTCCTGGTGCAGGTCTCCGGGTTCTCCTGTCTGAAATCTTCTGGCTGGTTTCTGGTGAAATGAATCGTTCCTCTGTGAGTTTAATTCGGCATCACAGCTGAAGCTGATCGTCGCCTGACGTACGAGCAAGTCATTCTGATCTGGATGTTTTAGAAACACATTTTATTATTATTTATTAATTTAGAGATCTCCAGCCTCTAGCGTGGAAACATATTTTTCGATGTGTTTCGAGTGTCGTGAGCAGAGCGTTTCCTTCGGGATGATTTCAGATCTCCCTCATGGTAAAACTTCTTCCTGCTGCTGAAAATAAACATCCGTGAAGGTTTGAGCGGCGTCCTCCTGTCCTGCTGTTTCCTCCTGTCTTTGTCCTTCGGTCTGGACTTGATGAACCAGGTTTGTTTGACCCACATCAGGGATGCAGACAGACAGAAAACAGCAGATCTGGGTCAGTGTGGGTTAAAACCAGAACGGTCTTTGTCTGGAGCCTTTTGTGTCCATCACGTCTGATCCAGCTCTCAAAAACCAGACGGTCGCCTGCTGAGAGGATTTCATCCACCATCATCCTGCTACTGATGTTAATTCACCAGGTTTTTTTCTTGTTAGTTTTTAATGATTTTTAATTTATTCCAAATATTGTTTCTGTTTTATGTTTGTTCAAAAGTTGAGTTATTAAATAAGAATGTTTGAGATCACGTTGCTGAAGTTGAATTGTTTTCTACATGAAGTCTTTACTTGTGATCTTGATGCAATAGGGCAACATGCAATAAGCATACTCCTATATCACCTTAGCACTTTACACAAACTCAATAAAGCACACGCACTTTAATCCAACGTCCTTTTTCTTTTTACGTTTTCCTGTGAATCACTGCTCCGTCTCAATGCTTCTCAGCTTCTTGTTCATGTGATCTGTTTTATGAAGCAACACTGTGCCCAAGCCAAATTTCCCTTCAGGGACAATAAAATGAATGACCATGTGAAGAGGTTACCAGAGGTCACATGGTAGAAAAAACACTAGTGTGGAAAATCAATCAATAAACTCTGCACACAGATGAACGGCGTAAGCCATATATACATATACACACTGAACAAAATTATAAAGGCAACCATTTAGTTTTTGCCCCCACTCATCATGAGCTGAACTCAAAGATCTAAGACTTTCTCTATGTACACAAAATGCCTATTTCTCTCTAATATTGTTCACAAATCTGTCAAAATCTGTGTTAGTGAGCACTTCTCCTTTGCAGAGATAAACCATCCACCTCACAAGTGTGGCATATCAAGATGCTGATCAGACAGCATGGGTACTGCACAGGTGTGCCTTAGGCTGGCCACAATAAAAGGCCTTAGGCTGGCCACAATAAAAGGCCTTAAGCTTGATTTATACTCCTGCGTAGGGTCTACGTGCGTCTAATGTGTTGAATTTTGCTGGCCGAGAAGGCTAACTTCCGGTTTAGCCCTCCGCTAACGTGAATGGGGGTAAAATTGTATGCGTGCGTCTTGTGTAGCCTTTTCAAATGTTATCGACCGAGTGGATTACATTCTGATAGTGAAACAACTCATTTCGCTTGGGTTGTGACGGTCAAATATATTGATCCACGGTGTTACAGCCGCTGTTTTGGCCACTAGTAAAAGTTACTTCACAGCACAGGAACTTCCTGTTGGCTCGGAGGCATTGCGAGGCTACCCAGCCGACCAATCACAGAGCTTAGGGTCTGCGTCGACGTGTAGTTACGTTTTTGAGGAGGTGCACATCGGTGACGGCGTAGGGTAGGAGGCTACGCAGAGGCTACGCCGTTGATTTGACGCAGAAGTATAAATTGCACTTTAGGCTGGCCACAATAAAAGGCCACTCTAAAATGTGCAGTTTCACTGTCTTGGGAGGGTCAGTATCTGGTGTGACCACCATTTACCTCACGCAGTGAAACACATCTCCTTCGCATAGAGTTGATCAGGTTGGTCCACTCCTCTTCAATGACTGTGCGAAGTTGCAGTCAGGTTGAGCATGCAGATGAGCTTCCCTGAGACGGTTCCTGACAGTTTGTGCAGAAGTTCTTTGGTTATGCAAACCGACTGTTGCAGCAGCTGTCCGGGTGGCTGGTCTCAGATGATCTTGGAGGTGAAGATGCTGGATGTGGAGGTCCTGGTCTGGTGTGGTTACACATGGTCTGTGCTTGTGAGGCCGGTTGGATGTACTGCCAAATCCTCTGAAACGTCTTTGGAGACGGCTTATTGTAGAGAAATGAACATTCAATTCACGGGCAACAGCTCTGGTAGACATTCCTGCAGTCAGCATGCCAACTGCACGCTCCCTGAAAACTTGTGACATCAATGGCATTGTGCTGTATGATGGAACTGCACATTTTGGAGTGGCCTTTTATTGTGGCCAGCCTAAGGCCTTTTTATTGTGGCCAGCCTAAGGCCTTTTTATTGTGGCCAGCCTAAGGCCTTTTATTGTGGCCAGCCTAATGCACACCTGTGTAATCCCCATGCTGTCTGATCAGCATCTTGATAAGTCACACCTGTGAGGTGGATGGATTATCTCGGCAAAGTGCTCACTAACACAGATTTTGACAGATTTGTGAACAATATTTGAGAGAAATAGGCCTTTTGCGTACATAGAGAAAGTCTTAGATCTTTGAGTACAGGTCATGATGAATGGGGGCAAAAACAAAAGTGTTGCGTTTATAGTTTTGTTCAGTGTAGATGTGCAGACTTTGATTCCATGTGATATATCGGAATCATCACACAGGACAAGGTCACGAGACAAATCTAAGGAGCCACAAAATGTCAACTCAAATTTTATCAATCAGTGTCATAATTCCTGTTATTGATCACTAGCTTCAGATTTTACACCTTAATATGAAGCAGACATGTTTTCATCAGTGGAGGTTAAAACAGCCGTCAGGTTTTATTTGTACAACAACCCAAAGGCAGTAAAATATATACCATAAAACACCTGATTATGTTCAGTGAGTTTTAGTTTTATACGTTTTTACAGTAAGTAGGAGAAGATCTGCGATGGGACGTCCACCCACCGTCCACCCACCTTTTTTAAGAGAAGTGGACGTTTAGAGTAATGGTTCTCAAAGTAGGGTCCGGGGACCCCCATCAAGGACCCCTGGGGGAAAGGGGAAGCATTTATTTTCACTATAATCCCATCGATAAGTAACAAGGGGGTCTAATGTGTTTCAGGGTCAGGGGTCCTTGACATGAAAAAGTTTGGGAACCACTGGAGTCAAAGCTCAGCAGTGAGGTCAAAGGTCACAGAAGGGGTTACATCTATCTCATTAATCTACGGTAATTCAAGTTAGCTAGCTAGTTAGCATTTCTACAATACGCTGACTGGTCCGTTTCAAACCCAGCTGACGTTTCCATGTGAAATAAACACAGAAACAGAAGAGCTGTGCTGTAAAACCCATGACCAGAAAAGTAAAGTAAGATCAAAGTAAAATGTAGACGTGCAGTTAAAAAATACAAAGAACTTGTAACCACTAAAATGAATCACAGCCTCAGAATTACAGATGGTACCGTGATGCAGCCGAAACCCCGACGTTTACACCAAAGCTGTTAAAGTGAACGGTCTCGGGTTTCCGCAGTGATATCTCACTGGAATTATGGGTACACAACATTAAGTACCAGCAGTCTCGTCGGGAGGGTTATGAGGACGTCATGTCAGGTCTACCTGACTCTCTACAGGGTTACAGGAACTTCGTGTTTACAAAAACACAACATTACAACGACAGCATCACGTCGCACTGGGGGTGTCACAAGAACCGATACCAGGTCGATACCGAAATTCTGAAAACATGTCGGTAATCACGCTGACACACGCAGAGACAGCTCCAAGAAGGAACGCAGTAAGAGTCGTGTATGGAAGGACTTTGCATTAACAGTATTTTAGTTTGCGAAAGCTGGTATTACTGCTTCGCCTGGCCGATACATGACGTTCTACGGGTCCATCGCGTCCTGCAGGAAGGTAATGAGGACATGACATCCTATCGGTGTTTCCAGGTATGTGATGTCATGTTGAGATGAGTCCAGGGACACGACGTTCTGTCAGGAGCATTATGCGGACAGAAGGCCCTGCCGAGATGATTATAGGTACAGGACCTCCTGCTGGGATTGTGGGGATACAGTCCTGCAGCACATGGCATCATGCCACGATTTTCAGTGGTGAACAACATCCTGCAGGATTCGGGGTGCGTGACGTCATGTCTGGAGGATTAGGAGGACGAGAGGTCACGCTGTTATCAGAGCTGCCACAAGTTTACCATCTGGACCCAGAACCCTTTTTTCACACAGCGAAAGTTGGATCGTGTCCAGCTTGGAGTCACAAACCACCTGGTGTACATGTGGAGAACAAACCATCAGAAATACTGTGAAAAGGTCCAAACATGTTCAGAAATGCCTGCATAGATCCAGTCGTGCTGAGGGCTGAGTTCTGTCAACAAATGTGAAAACCAGCACTTCCCCCCGTCCCCGGCGATGCCCTCAGCTGTTGGACGGCTGTTCTGGTTTCAGTCGGATGGCCCAGGAGTTGGCAGATACGATGTCTCCCCGTCGATGGATGCGACAGGTGTAGACGCCCTCGTTGAACTCGTTGGCGAGAATGCGGAGGTCTCGGTCCTTCATGATGATGTAACCAGGGATGGAGGTCAGGATCTGCTCGCCGTCTTTATACCAGCTGGAGGAAGGAAAAGAGATTGGGTTTCAGGTTGTTGTTCACTAATTCATTCTTAAATCACTGTTAGGCGACTGTCTTGTGTTCACATTAAAGGGCACAATACTTCCTCTCCTGGTTTCAACATGACGTCAACTCTGCGAACTCCTGACGGGCTCGGCCACACCGAGCCACTGCTGACACTCCGGCCCCACCCCCTTCAGCTCTGGCAAACCAATCATGTCGCCACAGACTCCAGAGGTTTACCCGTCATCTCTCCTGAAGCTTTTTTGACTTCTGTGCTGGAATCTTTTTTGTTGATGGACTGACACCTTCAAATCCTGCACTACCGCTCGCTGACTGAAGCAAAACTCGATGCTTCTGTGGAGCCTCGTCTGTGGAAGACTGCACCTTAGCCCGCCTAGCTAGCTAGGTTTGCTTTTATTTGAGGTCAGATTTGTGTTCTGCCCGCCGACATACTCACAGCTACAACATGACATCAGACGGCTGCATATCATCAACGAGGATGAACTAATCCTGGACAATGAAATTTCACGTTTTCATAGTCGACGTTGGAAATAAATTGTTGTAAACTGAACCTCTTTTTAAGGTTTTGAACTTTTGCCCTCTGACGTCTGAAGACATCATCTGGGACTCAGGATACTTTTTAATGAACACAGTCATTAGTTGCAGCCACACATTGATCCATTCATTCGATCCCGTTTGGTTTTCATGTTTCATCAGGCCTCAGTATTGATCAGCTGACCTGACTTTGGGCGGCGAGCGGGGGTTTTTGGTTCCACAGCGAAAACCCACCACCTTCCCCCGGGGAACCATCTTGACCTTGACGTTGGCCGGAGGCGGCGTTGGTGTGGTCACCGCTTCCAGAGGCTCTGGAAGACAGGAAATGAGAGTCACACCAGAGACGGTTAGACAAACCTCAGAGAGAGCATCAGGTTTCTCAAGGCTGCAGCGGGGAACTGACTCGACCGTCCAACAGCAACCCGTCTCACCGTAGCAGAGGTCACAGCGCCGAGGACAGTTCTTCTTCATGAAGGTCTTCCTCCGCTCACAGAAGCCGAGTCGAGCCCACGGATCACAGACTCTCTTCTTATCCAGACAACCTGCAGACAAACCGCTGTCAGCTTTACTTCAGTAAACGTAGCAGTACCCCACAGAAGGTACAAGTACAAGTCCTGCATTTAAAACTTTACCTAAGCAGAAGCACGGCTTTATTAAGAGTCAGTGTTACACTACTCCATCACAGATTGTTTTATCACAATATTGTTACTAATAACTTGGACGCAGCATTTTAAGGATCCAGCAGGTTAATTTTTTTATGTACTGTTGGGTTGTTCTTAAAGAGGTCAGATTCTGCTCATTTCCAGGTTCGTAGTTTTATTTTGGGGTTGTACCCGAGCAGGTTTACATGATTTCATTTAAAAAGACACACCATGTGTTTGTCTGCACATCGCTGCAGCTCCTCTTCTCACCCCTTGTGCTAACGAGCAAAGGATCTCACTTCTATATGATCTTTGTTTGGAGCTGCACGTGCTCAGTACCTAGCAAAGGACTACTAGCCAATCAGAAGCAGAATAGGGCGGGTCCTGACAAGCTGGTATCCTTGGCTTCGGCTTCTAATTCGGTTCAAACCCCGGTTGCCCCGGCCTTTCTGCTTTTCTGTGTGGAGTTTGCATGTTCTCTCCGGGTGCTCCGGCTTCCTCCCACCAGACATGCTAGGTCGATTGGTGACCCTAAATTGTCCTTAGGTGTGAGCGTGAGTGGTTGTTTGTCTATGTGTGGCCCTGCGTACCCTGCCTTTCGCCTGATGCCAGGCAAGGGCTGGGATTGGCTCCAGCCCCCCCCCCTGTCCAGGGTGTACCTGTACGCAGGATAAGCGGTTGACGATGGATGGATGGATATCTTATTACTTTCCTGTACTGAATGGTTTATAGGTGACGACTTTATCTACTTCATCTCTGTAAAGAACAAAATATAAATAAATGTGTATTTAGGCTCCTACATGATAAAAATGTTGTTGTTTTTTTTTGTTCCTGAAATCCAGCCTGAATCCAGCCTCCTGTTGGGATCAGGATCAGGATCATCCGGATTTTTTGGATCAAAGGGATCCCAGTCCTACTAAAAACACCACAAACTGAAGGTTTGATCCAGATCAAACCCAGGACAGGATCAGGTGATCTGATCTGATTTCAGAATCCTTTTTTTTCTTTTGAACAACCCATTTTCAAGATTTGATCCAATCTCATCAGATTAGTTATGAACATCCGGTGTCTCTCTCTCCTTGCTCCTCTGTCTCCTTCTGTTCAGTGTAGCTTGTATTTGCTCTGTCTCCAAAGTCACATGTGTTTGTTGCTGCTTGACATTCCTGTCTGTAACTCTGAACCTGATTTTGGACTTGAGGAGTTTTACTTCATCACTGTTTGGATTTTCTTTTTAAGGTTCACCTAGTCTAGACTACTTATCATTTTGGATTTGCCCCCCCCCCCCCCCCCCCCCCCCCTTACCGTAGAGCCTCTGGATGCCCCATACGTCGTCCTGGGCGATGTTCCTCTGGCCGGTGTAGGTGGCGTTGGGATGCATCAGAGCCTGAGGGTCTCTGGAGTGCCACAGGCCGAGAGCGTGGCCGATCTCGTGAGCCGCCACCTGGACCAGGTCGTTCAACCACACACCTGCAGAGTCACAGAAAACACCTGGAGTGTTAGAAGAAGAACAACCACCTGACAGATAATCTTCTTTTCAACAAACACAGGAGAGAAACTGTTCGGATCAGGTGGTACTCACATTACTGCAGTACAGTTACCTTGTTTCCAGCTGAACCTGGACTTGCCGAGGATCCAGAACTCGTGGTTGTCGAAGTGGATTTCTCCTCGTGGCGGCAGGAAGGCGTGAGCCAGCTCGCCGTTCAGGCCGTCAAAACACGGGTGGAGTGGAGACCACCAGCAGTCAGTGTGGTTGAAGGTGTAGAAACCTAACGCACACATAGAAGTTTTCACAACCATGAGACCACACTAACCTCAACACGACCGTGGAGGTCCAATGAGCCAGAAGAGACTCTGAACCTGTCCAGGTCACACTGAGGGGCACAACAGGTCCTGACTGTTGGTCGTATCGGTTCATTTCTGAGGTTTTAAACTAAACTTCTGGCCGTACCTTACACAATCTGTATTTTATTTTAACTCCTCCCCCTCGCCTTCTGCCTACCAATGGTAATGTCAGCGGTGGCGTTGCCGTCAGTAACCTCAGTGAAGCTCAGTGGTGACACGTCACTCCACTTGGTGAAGGCAATGCTGATGGCCTTCCTGGTGTCCTCCACATTAAGGGTGTTGGGATACTTTGTGATCCTGAAGAGACAGAGAGACAGAGACACAAAGAGACAGAGACACAAAGAGACAGAGACACAAAGAGAGAGAGAAAAAGATACAAAGTGACAGAGACACAAAGATGCAAATGGACAGAGACACAAAGATACAAAGAGACATAGACACAAAGATGCAAAGGGACAGAGACACAAAGATACAAAGAGAGAGAGAAAAAGATACAAAGAGACAGAGACACAAAGATGCAAAAGGACAGAGACACAAAGATACAAATAGACACAGACACAAAGATGCAAAGGGACAGATACACAAATATACAGAGAGAGAGACACACAAAGAGAGAGATACACACAAAGAGACAGAGACACAAAGATGCAGAGGGACAGAGACACAAAGATACAAAGAGACAGAGACACACACAAAGAGACAGAGACACAAAGATGCAGAGGGACAGAGACACAAAGAGACAGAGACACACACAAAGAGACAGAGATACAAAGAGACAGACACACACAGAGACAGAGACACACACAAAGAGACAGAGACACAAAGAGACAAATAGAAAGACAAATAGAAAAGGAGACAAGAGCCACAAAGAGACACAAAAAGACAAAGAGACAGAGAGGTTGGTGAATGGATCTCTGACCTTCACCTGTGTGTGATGTCATGTTTTAGGGCTGACCTCCACCTGTGTGTGTGATGTCATGTTTTAGGGCTGACCTCCACCTGTGTGTGTGATGTCATGTTAGGGCTGACCTCCACCTGTGTGTGTGATGTCATGTTTTAGGGCTGACCTCCACCTGTGTGTGATGTCATGTTTTAGGGCTGACCTCCACCTGTGTGTGTGATGTCATGTTTTAGGGCTGACCTCCACCTGTGTGTGATGTCATGTTTTAGGGCTGACCTCCACCTGTGTGTGTGATGTCATGTTAGGGCTGACCTCCACCTGTGTGTGATGTCATGTTAGGGCTGACCTCCACCTGTGTGTGATGTCATGTTAGGGCTGACCTCCACCTGTGTGTGTGATGTCATGTTAGGGCTGACCTCCACCTGTGTGTGATGTCATGTTAGGGCTGACCTCCACCTGTGTGTGATGTCATGTTAGGGCTGACCTCCACCTGTGTGTGTGATGTCATGTTAGGGCTGACCTCCACCTGTGTGTGTGATGTCATGTTTTAGGGCTGACCTCCACCTGTGTGTGTGATGTCATGTTTTAGGGCTGACCTCCACCTGTGTGTGATGTCATGTTTTAGGGCGGTGTCTCCACCTGTATGTGATGTTGTGGTGAGTCCACTTGTGTCCCACGGGGTTGATGGCGTAGCGTCTGTGTCTCGTTCCTCCAAGTGTCTCCATCACTCTGCTGCTGCAGGAAGTCTAAAAAAAACACAAAGCACATGACAGGATGTTGAACCAATCAGCAGCCTCCGAGCTGAGTGCGGAGCAGCTGCAGTTCCTTTAACATCCACTAGGTGTCGCTGTGAGCTCTACAGTAAAGATGTCAGTGACTGAAGGTTAGCGACCGTGTTGAGAAAGAGACAGAGGCCGGAAGACGCCAACTACGACTCCCAGGGTACATTTCACTAACCAACAGCCAATCACAGAGCTTCCTGTCCTGTGGCGCGCTGAGAAACAACCTGCACTTTAAAATCACACTCGACGGGTTTTGCGCTTACCTGTGACGACAAAGTGTTTTTAATTCACCATAACTCTCATTCACACCTCTGACTCTGACGGCAGCCGACGCTCATGGGAAATGTAGTCTTAAGACACAAAAGAAGTGAAAGAGAAGACCTTCCTCTGAAAACACCAGAAGAAGAAATCAGAGTTCACAGAGAGCGGAACAGAGTGATGAGTTTGGGGGTTTTGAGACGTGGCAGCAGATTCAGGACAGATGTGGAACCCTTTCTTTCATCTGCTGCTCTCCTCCTCCTCCTCTCAGATATCTGTCACCCACATGAGAACCTCCCGCCCCTCCTCAAACTGAAACAGTGCTGTTCTCTGTTTACTGACGATAAAGATTTGAAGTACTTCCTGTTCTGTCTCTAAACATCTGTAAACCAGAGGTGCCAGACGGGATGAAGTTAAACTCTGAGAGAGAAGAAACAGCTCAGAAAACGACATTAAAGATGTTCACGCTAATAAAAACGAAGAAACATCCTGGTTTACATTAATGATGAAGAGTAAGAATAAAAACAGTACAACAGTCACAGGATAGTTTTCTTTCTGCAATGAGTACTTTTTTTTAAAGCAGGTACTTTTATAGTAGAAGAAGTTTAAATTGAAGATTTCTATTTTTAGCGAGAGTATCTGTACTTTTACCGTTTCCAACCAATCAGAGTCCTTGTGATTCAGACAGTGACTTGAGTACAGGATCAATAAATCAGTAACTATCTGACAATCTGATTACATGTTCAGACACAGAGAGCTGAGGGGCCAAGCTGCCAAAGGGCCACACAGCAGAGGGGCCACTCAGATTAAAATAAAAATACATGAATACTTATTTATTATCTTTATATTAATGTTCTTGTCATATTTTATTGATGCTCAGTGATTCTTTTCATTATTGATTAGTCTAGATTTTCTCTTATTGATGCATCTAAATGTGATGTGTAATGATTTGACAGGGACGAAGCACGTTAATGAACATCATTATAAAGAAACACTTCGGAGTTTGGCAATAACAATAATTTCACTCGATGTGTAAAACAAAAATTACAAATGGCAATAAACAACTACAGGATTCACAAATAGCACAGTGGGAAGCTGGTGCTGTAAATCATTTGTAAGCAGCTGTTTTCTAAACATATTCTCTGTCACGGAATCACTTCATGCTCACAGACTTGATGTGTCCTCTGAACATCTCCAGCAGAACTTCTGATTAAAGGCTTGAACATGAATCACCCATAAATGAACTTATTGATTGATCAGCTGCGTGTTGGACTCTGCAGAGCTTCACTGATAAACTGACCTTCATCATCACCATCATCATCATCACCATCAGCAGCAGAGGGGGGTCCATGATGGGAGCTGGACTCTACACACTCCGACTCATGACCCGCCCGTCACTCGGTCAGTGCGCGTGCCATTAGAGATTCCGCGTGTCCAGAGAAAACGTGTGCACGCAAAGATTAACGCAGTGACTCCAGGTTTCCTCAGATCCTTGTGGGTCCAGAAGAACCGACCCGGAGAACCGACCCGGAGACACGGTACAGCCGCAGCGCGTCCGGATCCGAGCCGGTTTTGAAAAGTTCCTGCTGTCTCCAAGTCTCTGTCCGGAGGTGACGCGGGTAGAGCAGGTTCTGGACCTGGTCCCGTCCTGCTCGACTCTGGAACAAACTGAGGGAACTTCCCGGACAGTGCGCTCGCTGCTGCAGAGGGGCAGGTCCGGGGGGGCGGGGTCAGGTGTGTGTGTGTGAGCGGTGTCCGTTTACACTGTGAATGTGGAGTTTAACCCTTCAGCTTCCGAATAAAACAAGTTAACTTCAGTATTAAAATAATTTTTATGTTTTGATAAGGAAATTATTGTCTTCTGTTTGTTCTGGATTTAAGCAGCAGATAAACTAACCCAGGCATGAGGTTCTGCTTGTGGCCTCTGGGGGCCCGTTCAGGGCCACAGGTAGGGCCACCCCGAGGTGTTTTCCTACCACCAGCAGTCCAGATGTGCACCGTTTGTCTTGTCTCTCCTCAGAACATCTGTCCAAACAGCCTGCAGAGCCGCTGCCACCTCCAACACTGCTGATGGTGTTTTCACGTGGCCGGGTTCACCAGGGCCTCGTGCACCTGGTGTTTGTAGTCCAGGGCCTCGTGCACCTGGTGTTTGTAGTCCAGGGCCTCGTGCACCTGGTGTTTGTAGTCCAGGGCCTCGTGAACCTGGTGTTTGTAGTTCATTCATCATCATTTGAAAAAGAGTTTTCTCCCTTCAGTCACCAGAGAAGTGAGCTGTACACATTAAGAATTTCAGATAAATGTCCTTTCACGAAGTCTGTCACCCGCCTCCCAGATACACGTCCAGCAGGGGGCGCTACTGAGATAGATAGATAGATAACTCACAACATTAACCACTAGTTTTATTTTGAAAGTCTAACCAGACGTTGCATGTTAATTGTTGCTAACTACATTGACCACGGAGCCATAAACGTCGACAAACTGCTGCTAAAAGGTACCCAGGGCGTTAAGCGACGCCAAGGGGTCTGACCAGGCGTCCATATGTGACGGGTTCAGACATCACACAACAGAAAACAGTTTTCCTCCCTCAGCTTCTCTCTCGTCCTTCTCGTCTTTGGATGTTGGATGAAGTCCCTGGATGACTTCAATTTGCTTCAGGGTGCAGCCCCCGACAAAATGTGCATCCAGTCTCGACCACGATTGACTTTCATGTAACCACGGCATCATTCACTTCCTGTCTGACCGTCCAGACCCGTCCACCTTCTTCACCATCACAGTCCAGAACAAGACTCACCAGACTCTCTGGGCTGGACCTGCAGACTCCATGAAAACCAGTATCAGAAGCCTCCCTGGCTGATTTCGCTCTGATGGACCAGATGGCTCATGGGCTCCAACATTTACAGGTCTTCAGGTCCACCTGAGTCCTAATAACTGACCCGGCCTGTGACCTCAGTCAAAAGTCATTGGTTCATGTTTCAGTAGGTTTTCCTCAGGTCTGCTTCAGATCTAGTCCAAAATGTTGGACTCATGGAAACCTGCATGCACTACTCCCAACCCCAGTTGGGATCTTATTCACCTCTGGTCTCTCTGGACCTTTTTGACTACCTCGGGAACCGCTCTACGAAGGGTACGTTCGCCAGGTTCAGTCGCCATTCAATAACATCCCAAGTCCAGGTCAGCAGCCCCACGCCCCCTTCATTAAAACCCCACCCCAAACTCCACTTGAGTCCAAATCTGAGAGAGAGACCAGGAGGCAATCACACCTGGTCTGAACTAGATCAGAGGATAATTAGACCCAAAGCACGACGTGATCAGGGCTGATGAAGAGTCCACATGGAGCCATTCAGGCATCAGATTAGACTGGATGTAACTGGAACCAGGGTCAGTCTCAGATACTAGGAACCAAGTGGACCCATGAAGACTCATTTAATTGTCAGGTGGTGGAAAGAAAATTACATTCCTGCTGTGGGGGAGGCAGAGGACCAAAAGGACGCCTAAACCGTCATTCTTCCATATTTTACTACTGTTTCCATCAAACGTTTCACTTTTACTGATATGCATTTGATTTATTTGTGCAGGTTTCCGGTCTGAGGTGTGAAAGGAGTTTGTGGACGAACAGAAACAGACTGGATGAAGAAACGCTGCCGTCCATGAAGCAACAACTGGAAGTGAAGAAAGCGTGCAGCGATGAGGAGGCCGTGACCTTCCTCACATTAACACATGAAACTAACGGAAAGGTCTGATGCCGTCATGCTCTCCAAGTGGTTTTCTACCGTTTGAGCTTTGACTGCAGCTCTCTTAACGATGTCGTCCCGCTCTGTCCTCTTCTTCTTCTGCGATGTTTAAAGGCCTCTTGGTCAGGTTTCGGAAAAGAGGGTTTGGGATAAAATTTTAAATATAATAAAACATTATTAAACTCCAAACATGTCACCAATTTCCTTCACACGGAACTCAAACCTCCTGAGTGAAAGTCCTGAGTTTACTGGACTCATCCATCCATCCCAACACCTCCTTATATGGACTTTGCCGCTCTTTTCACTTCTTCTGCCACTGGAGGTCGCGGCCTGACTAAAAACCTAAATACATTTCATAATAAGTTGCTGCATGATGTACTTGGACGGCCGTCTCTCTGCTGAGAAGGTGGTTATAGTATAATGTACACACAGTGTATACCGTGTGTTTACATGTACATGCAGCGGATGGAACAAGCTTTAGCTCGCAGTTTCTTCTTCCGCAGATTGGGCTGTAATCCGGCTGCTTTTCATTCACTGTTACAGTCTGAATCTTGATTAGTCAGCCTGAAGTCATTTCTGCAGGAAGACGACAGGAAGACAAAGCTGCTGATGGCCGTTCATTTAAAGACTGAACTAATCTGAAAATAGAAAAGAGTCATTATTGCAGCCTCATTGCCCCCCTTATTGCCTGCATTGTTGTGTTGTTTGTTGTGTTGTTTATCAGCCGCCCACACTCGGCCCGCGGTCACCTTCACTCTGACAAACTGCCTGCAGAGGCATCTTTCACAGGAAGTCATCATATGTGCATGTTAAGCAGGCCGGCGCTCATTAAAGCTGCATCGTGTTCTGAATGAAGTTTGAATGTTGGCAGCTGAGCGGCCTGGCAGACTCCCATCATGCACTGCAACACCGCTCTGACTCTCAGATCAATACCTCGACAGAAACCCAACAGCAGGACTTTGAAAAGATTATTAATATGATCCAAGCGCCGACGTTATTGATCTTTTGTCTCGTCTAACGCGGTGAAGCTCAACCTGCACTTTGATTTGATCGGTTTGATCAGAGGGGACGAGGATCTAACGTCGTCTATCAATCGCTTAGATATTGATCAGAATCTGATCTGACGTCAGCACATTGACCTGTATAGCTTCACTTTGTCTCAGATCTTCACGTCTGTGTTTGGGACCTGGTTAGCTTAGCTTAGCATAAAGACTGGAAGCAGGGGGAAACTGCTAGCATGGCTCGGCCCGAAGGGAACAGAACCCACCTGCAGCTCCGTGATGAACAGGATCTATGTGGGGAACCAGGGAGGAGTTTGTTCTGTTGTCATGAAGGAATCAGCTGAAATGAATCCTGTAAACCATCTGACGCTCACTGATGACCTCATCAGAAAGGGGTGTGCCACAGAGCAGCAGGTGCTACAGAGCCAGGTAGCACCTGCTGCTCTGCGGCTTTGCAGGAGTATCCCATCATGCTTCAGTGTTCCTGGCCGGGGTCCCTTGGCCCCCGTCGGCCTCCTGGCAGCCGTCCCACCGACCTTGAGGCCGGAGCGTCGGGCTCCAGGCGGCGTGTTGCCCAGAGAGAGAAGCAGAGAGACGGAGGAGGAGACGGACTTTCAGCCGGAGCTGAAGGACGAGGATTTAATTACACCTCTGTCCATTCACCTGTCCATCACACACACACACACACACACACACACTGAACACACACACACACACACACTGAGCACACACACACTGAACACACACACACACTGAACACACACACACACACACACACACTGAACACACACACTGAGCACACACACACACACACACACACTGAACACACACACACACACACACACTGAACACACACACACTGAACACACACACACACACACACACACACACACACTGAACACACACACACACACACACACACACACACACTGAACACACACACTGAGCACACACACACACACACTGAACACACACACACACACACACACTGAACACACACACACTGAACACACACACACACACACACTGAGCACACACACACTGAACACACACACACACTGAACACACACAAACTGAGCACACACACACACACACACACACACACACTGAACACACACACACACTGAACACACACACACACACACACACACACACACACTGAACACACACACTGAACACACACACTGAGCACACACACTGAGCACACACATCGTGGTGGGGACCCGTCAGCTCCTAACGCAGGACCCTCAAGCGGCCCTTTAAACTTGAGCAGCAATGTTGGTCCCCATGAAGCTGCCGGACCCCACAAGTATAGTGGAATCCTGGTTTTTGGACCCCACGAATATGATAAACAAGACACACACACAAAAACACACGCACTGTACATACACGCCGGTCAGCAGGTTCCCACATCTTCACCTCATCTTGTTTCCAAGGAGACGAAAACAAACCGTCTGTTTTTAAAGGCTGCAGGTCGTCATGACAACTGGCAGCGACCAAAAATCCCAAACTGTCTATTTTTCAGGCTGCGACGTGTCAGAGGTCAGAGGTCACCAACACAAGTGTTCTGTTTTTATTCTTGTTGTTTTAAAATATAGATTTTCTTCACTGACAGAAACATTAAAAAAGAATCCGGTCTGGTTTCGGGTTAAAGACCTGGTTCACCTGCTGGTTCACCTGCTGGTTCACCTGCTGGTTCACCTGCTGGTTCACCTGCTGGTTCCTGGTATGTTGGATCGTAGGACTGAAGGCAGCTGCTGGTTCACCTGCTGGTTCCTGGTAGGTTGGGTCGTAGACTGAAGGCAGCTGCTGGTTCACCTGCTGGTTCCTGGTAGGTTGGGTCGTAGACTGAAGGCAGCTGCTGGTTCACCTGCTGGTTCCTGGTATGTTGGATCGTAGACTGAAGGCAGCTGCTGGTTCACCTGCTGGTTCCTGGTAGGTTGGGTCGT